TCTACTTTTCTTTGTATTGACCGGGAGTTCTTTGTCCTATCGTTAGTGCTTTGGAGAATGATCCCCTACCTATCATTATACCTCGGAATCCGTCGGCCCTTAGTGATCTCTCCCCGCAGAATATCAATTTATAGCAGCAATCTCTAGCAAGTAGTGAACCGAAGGCTCGATGTAATTGAGCTGACATCAAGCCTATGTATGAATGATACCGATGACACAGCTGAGTGCCACCATGCCAAGGTAATGAAATTAAAGCCACGAAAGTTGAAAGCGATGATGGGAATAAAAGCAGGGGCTTGTGGTTCGTTATCAGTACCTGTTTTAGAACGATATAACCTCGTTGTCCGCCTCTCAATGTCCGGTCCCCTGCCCTCTCTCTCGATGTGGTGCCTTTCACTCTGCCAACACTTTCTCGAAATGCCGAAAGGTAGGATGAAAGGTCTTTTCCCAAGCTATGAATCTTCATCAATGGCATAGTCATAAGAGACAAAGAAATTTTGAATTTGATGTTCCATCCGCAAACACGACGAAAAAGGTAGCCGAACCACCTCCCTCAAGTGCTAGCGTACAAGAATCCGCTTTCGGCAGTGAATCACATGTAGAAATACAAAAATGTTGAATCATCGAGATTATTTACTACTTTTGACTGAACTGCGCTTCGAAAAGTTTGTTGGGGAAGGAAAGCCAGAAATCTTGTTTTTCTCATTCCTCTTTCCTCCTTACGTCTATACGAGCTTCTTTCGATTCGATGGCAGTTTTCAGCCTTTGCTTTCTCAATTACATTGACTCTTGTGTAGCAGTAGTTCTTAGTGCCATTCTTTCGGTCCCAGTAACCATTATAGGAAGTGTCCTGAACGCTTATGACTCTTTCCCCTTCCTTCGGGGCATCCAACCCTCTACTCAATTACTTTTTATGACTTCACTTCGCTTCGCTTCGTCAGTCTCCTTTTAGTCGAGTCTCACTTCGCTCTCCTCGGAACAAGGTCTTTTTGGGGGAAAGGGAGATGTCGTATACGCAAATGCTCTTTCCCTTGCAGGCATAAGAGAAAGGAGGCTCCTATACCAAAGGGGAAAGACGTAGTAGACAAAGGATACCTTGTCGGTAGGTCTTTATGTCTCTCAAAGGACTGACAATGCGTAGTCAAAGGCAAGCCGCGTATGGATTGATCCCTGATTCTGTCATTTTTCTGGGTCTTCTTTCCATCTCACAACTTCTACTTCTTGAGCCGACCTTGCCTGCTGGAGGTATGATGTAGATCTTTGAATCGAATTAGATCTTTCTCAAGTGGAGCAAAAAGCAAGAATGTCGTTTTTCCAGCGAGGTTCGATGAGTCACTCGACTTAGAAAGAAGGTTCTCCCGAGAAGGAATCACTCCTAGGCAAAAAAGTGGTGTACCTGCATTGAGGAGGCACCCCGGAATTAACCTTTCGTTCCCATATGCATCGGCTTATTCTAAATCGACATATCCTGGTTCTCCCAACCCAACAGGTTCCCTTTCTTTCAAAATGGCATTTCAAAAATGGATTCGGTCACTTCAAGAGAAGAGCAAGGCATTCCAATTGCCAGTTGACTGGTCCTTTTCATTCGATTGAGTTCCGACCCCTACAAACTTTTCGAAGCGAAGTTCAGTCAAAAATAAGGGTAGGTAGGCTCCTCGGTCTGCTCGTGAATCTATTCGGTGGCTCTAAGAATGACCGGTCCGTGAATCCTCTATTGATGGTTGGTTTGCAGCCTCTGATTGAGATCTTCTTCTTCGGACTGATTTTCTTTCTCATGGGATGGATCAGACGAATACGATAGGCCGACAGATCGATAGGACTCGCTTGCTTATCCTATATGACCTCAGAGCAGCTTTTAGGGTATTCGTTTTAGACGAGTGCTACATACCCGGCTAAGGCTACGCATTACTTCTTAGCAAAAGACTTTGCTTTAGATAGCTCTTCTCTTATTGCGCATTCCAAAGCGCTCAAAGGGATTGGGAGCTATACGCTCTGTCCCAAGGGAGGAGTAGGAGAGAGATTGTTCAAAGTAGTTAGATATCTACTCGGAATAGGACTAGCCCGGTCTATCAGTAAACCTCCTAAGGGTGTTGGATTTTTGAATAGGCTCGATGAAATTGACCTTCTTTCCCGAGTTCCCAAGTGGATGAATAGACTGAGCGACTTCTTAGCTCTTCCTAAGGGTTCTTGCTAGGATAGCTAATCTGACTTGTTTGATTTGTTTGCTGATCTTTCTTTCCTTAGAAGCCGAGATACTTACCAAGATTCTGAGTAAACCCAATGGGGGTGGCCTGTCGAAGCCAGGAATTCTCAAGAGGCGTCACTCGCTGTGAAGCAAAGGCTTTCGACTTGAGTGGGTTCATTTTCAAGCCGGACCAAGAGGCAAAGCGATTGAGGGTAGACGATAGGCATCGGATGCTTTGTTCCTCAGCAACTGTGCACAAGATCAGATCGTCGGCGAACATTAAATGCGAAATTTTGAAAGGTACGAACGAAGCAAAGCGAAGTGAAGTTCAGTCATAGAGGTTTTTTGGGGGACGACTGATTCGGAATCAGAGTTTGAATCTGTACTTCCTTTCCTTGCTTCACAAGCTCACCTTGTCTGCCGGCGAATACGGGATTGTCTCTGTCGAAATCGAGGTCAGATCATAGCATGAAGTGATGGGATTGAACTTGAACTCTCAGGTCTTGCATTTCCTCTATCAAGCATTACTGCCGGAAAAAAGAAACTAGGCAATAAAGGGAAGGAATTAATTGAAACCTATACCTATACTAATTTAAAGAGGCAAAGCCCGAGAGAGTTGAAGAGAGAGCTGACAGCTCGCCATTAAGATAAAGAGACTTGGAAGTTGACAGAAGAGCGATTGGATTGAAAGAGATAGGGAAAGAAAGAGAGCGCGCCCCTGATAATTGCGTCGTTGTGCCTGGGCTGTGAGGGCTCTCAGCCACATCGTTCAATGTGCTCATCGGCGCCTGACCCTGAGATGTGGATCATCCAAGGCACAGACGCATGGCGTACGGATCCTCTTCGAACAGGGGTTTGAAACCTCTCCTCTCTTCTATGACTGAACTTCGCTCTCCTTAGGCTTTCTTGCTGGATTGGCTTCTTGACTTAGAGCTTTCACGTGGCAATCGAGCTGCCGGAGAAAATGAATATATAAAGAGGGAGTTGGACTTATCGGATCCTTAGCAATTCATGCGAGGATGGGGATCTCGTCAAAGTCCGTTTTATGAAATTTCGGAGGGGCGGCGAATTTTCCCATCTGTTAAGAGCCAATCAATTAGGATTGAGTCTCACTGCGTGCGAGGAAAGCTACACCGATGACTCCCTATAGTGATGAATAAGAAGTGCCCTGGAACAAGGTGTACTAATCCATCTTTCTAATCAATGTAGAAGGTTCACTGAACAACTCCTAGTTCTTGTTTTGGCCTATGCCCGCAGCCTTTGATTACTACAGCCACTTCCCAAGCATCATTAGCCTTCTTGGGAGGACCTTTAGATTCATTCATTCTCTTGCTCTATCTTTCGACTTCGTAACCTGAAGCTATAACAAACCCATGGCTGTCGCTAAACCTTATTAGAACACCAGTGAGTGGCGGGACTTCTTCCAACCAATATGGACCCAGCTCCGTCACACTTGGCTTTAGGCCTGCCTACTAGTCTCTTTCGGGGACCAATCCATCATAGAACCAACTTTCAAGCTATGAAATACAGGCCCAACCAACTTCAACGTATAAAAAGCGTCGATCGCGAGACCCGGATAGATTGAGTCAAGTAATGGCATCCACTGAGGTTCGATTCAATTGACGACTATAAAGGAGAGGAGGTCAAGGAGAGGGGTGGTTCTGCGATAGGGCGGTGGTCGGAGAGCAGGACTTATGAGGGTCCGTTCCCGGTGATACTGCGTAGCGCGACTCGTGCAATCAAAAATTAATGAGCCTGTTGTTTCGGGCAACCAGAATCGCGCGAGAAATCCATTTCCCAGGGCCCACCGAGCACCCCTGTATGAATCGGCGATAATAATTGACAGCAAGCGAAGTGAAGTCATAGAAGCCCCAGCTTTTTTTGGCTTCTGACCAGTTACTATAGACCCCCAACGATCTGGTCTGATCGCATCGGTATGGATCATAAAATAGCCTGGAACCGGCTAAGAGTGATTAAACGGACAAAACCTATTCCCCCATCTGGTCGAGCCAGCAAAGGCATCCATCCAATACAGATAGAGATAGGTCTCCTCCTTTCACTTTTCTTTTGGTAGGAACGGTAAATTCCCCCCAAACCATGATGGATTCTCCTTGGCTACCTTAACTGAATGAAGATTCTGCAACTCATTAAGTCGACTCAACTTTGTCGATCCTCTCCCTTATTCCTTTGACTTCACTGCGCTTCGCTTCTAAAGTTGGGTGCCTTTCTTTCGCGTTTTGACTTCGTTCCTTCGGTTTAGTCGGGGCGGAATCGATCTACAGCTTTAAGCCCAATAATCATGACACGATCTAGCAAAAGGGCTGTTCAGGAAGATCTCGGGAAAGAACTGTGAAGACAATCCAATCCCAAGTCAATTTCATCGAACCTTATATCTGCTATCAGGTGATGGATTAAGAAAGGCTCTTCTTCAGAAGACAGCCTGGCGTTTTTTAGTTGATGACCAAAGCCCCCGTAATTATTGTAGCTGTCAAAGTGCTGAAAGCAAAATACAAAGTGGAAGGGTTTGATTGTTGCTGCCAAGAACCTCTTCTCTCCGAGGGGTTGCTGCTAAGAATTTGAAATGGTGAGCCTAATAGATAGGGCGATTTTGGACAGATTGTTGGCTTCAGGAGCCACTAGTGGACCTGCTCAGTCAGTTGCCTGATGGGGTGAATCTTGAGGCCAAGGTGAACGAGTAGCTGATGGGATTTGATACGAGAGATTTTTCCAGCCGCAGTACAGGTCCTTGCCTCTTCCAATGGTCTCAGATGTGAAAGATAAATGGATTTGGAAGCTCTATAGTCCTATAATTCGTTTTCTCCTCAAAGACAGCTTATTTGGACATGGTGAATCAGGGTATGAGTAATGGCACTCTCAAATGGACTTGGATGTGGATGTTTAGTAGGGGCGGCCTGGTTACACTTCTTGTGGTTAGCCAGACACAACAGATTTATAACTAATGAGCTAAGAGCAAGGTGGGGTTTATACCCTTCGGGTATTTGCACGCTTTGTGGGTGGAGATGATATCTATACAGATGGATATCTATCGGATCATTCAACTATATTGTAGATTCTATGCTCTTTGGTTGGAGGTTATGTAATACACTTGAAGAGGAAGAAAGCGAACCTGTTTACATTCGTTTAGATGACGCCTAAAGCGAAATATCAAAGTATAAGTTCACCCGGACAAAATGACTCTTCTATTTTACAGTTTTGGAATGAAATTCAATATACACAGGAGTCACGGTACTAGAGTAGTCTAAGTATATAGGGATGTAATCATAAATTACATAGTCAGAAGAGAACTATTTACCAGAGTGCGAAATCCATATAAATAGAAAGCCTATCCTAGGAGTTCTTAGAAGTGCTGATATTGAAGTCTTTTCTGTAAAAGTGAATACTTTCCGCCTCCAAGCTTGATTAAAGGACTACTTCCCCCATCACTATCAGAGTTGAAAGCGAAATGGAATTTGGAAACTCGCTATCCATCTGAGCGGTCTTTTCCTTGCAAGGACGCCATTCTTCTAATATAAGAGAGACGTGCGGCCAAGGACCGAGTACGACTGCGGTCTATTACTATGATGAGATGCGTCGAAGCAATCTTTATCTTTCTGCCAATCATCTTTCGGATCAGCGGCGAGGTACTTACTACTTCTTCTGTCTGAATGATCTTATTCACCTGGGTTTCTAGCCCTTTTTGTGTCAGCCGGGAAAAAGCTTGCTACAGTAGACTCTCTTTTCTCTACTTAATTTAGACTTTCATTTGACTAACTTTCAGTAAAGTCAGTCTTCTGTGAGGGAAGAAAGGCTAAAAACAGAAAAGGCTGAGAAAAAAGACTGACAGGCTGACTTTCCTGGCTTGCTTTAGTCGGTGAATCTATGCCCTCTGCTTCGACTTCCAATGTGAGAGTAGAATCGGCTGTGCTATAATCCGCTTTAACCGTAGCAACTCTTCTCCTCTCTTCCCTTGACGACTTATGCCGCTTCATCTTCTGGTGAAACATAGTCCATTGTAAGGCTTCGGGAATCTTCTGTTATATCCCAATCCTCCGCTGTAGCTTAAGAGACTTCAGCAGATGAAGCCACCACTTTTGCCTCTGAGTCAGGTGCTGTGGTATTTGATGTAGTGGAACCAGACGAGATCTCCTTTTTGACCTGTTGCCAAAGAAGAACCCGCAGCGGTACCCTTCATTGAAGAAGTCCAAATCCTTTCATATTCAATTACATTGATACCGCCTTCTTTAGAGAAGATTTTTTAAGCTCTGAAGCAGCCCATATTAAGCTTTCTTAAATAAGAAAGAGAGACTTTACTCGAATGAAGATTAGCGGGAAAAAAATGTGAGTTCTAGTATTGAAGAGTTTGATACCCGTCTGCGTTCTATCTTTATGTATAAAAGAGTTAGCCTAGCCAACAAAGGCGGAAAAGAAAAGGCAATTTTGGCCTAGAGAATCGAACAGGGATCCTCCAATAGGAAGGAAGTGTGCTATTCAATTCCTTATTTTCTTTTTCAAAATTTGATAAAGGATGCTTAAAAAAAGAAGTCAATGGTTGCTAAACCCGGATCGGATGCTATCTCCTAAATCTCCAGTGAAAAAAAGTCTGCCTTCTCTGAAGTTGGATCTTAGGATAGAAAAAGAGAGTCCGATATCCCGGACCTGGTTGCCACCTTTTTTGGTCGAGGTAACGCCCATACAAAACTACAGAGTAACTGTAGGCAAGTAAGACAGATCTTTCCCAGAGTGCCTTCTTTAAGCTTGAGCATCAGGTGCCGCTACGTCTGCAGGAGATGAAAAAACCTATTCCGCCGCCGAACTGCTTTCTGTTGCTCAATCGTCCACTTTAGATGAAACTACTCCACTAAATCATATTATGCGGCAGAGACAGAAGGTCTATCCTCTAAGGCAGACAATTACATACGTGGTCTCGCCCATCTGATGAAGCGAAGCAAAAGCCTAGTTCTCGGTAAAGCAAGCTCTCGGCTCAGGCTCAGGGAGGTGAAGAATATTCATTTCTTTCCAGCTTTGGTCACATAGGCTTAAACCGGGCTTTGAACGCAGGGCTGCGAATATTCGCGCTCGACAGGCGGCTACGGTAGCCCGGAGAACGTCAATGGCATCCCCCGGAAGTGTCTATGTCTATTAACGACAAGGTACTAGATGAAAGACTGGAACATATGAAAAGAAAAAACTGTCTTATAAGCGGATTCAACTCAGGCAGGCAGACGTCCTTAGGAAAAAGATCCAGGGGGATCTCTCTATATACCTTGGAAATTCTCCTTTCATTCCGAGTTAAAGCTTTTATATATCTTTCATAGCGGATGAGCTTCTTGAACAAACTACCACAACCTGAAAAAGGAGTTCAGGAAAGAGGAACTGACATTAAGCTGGTCTTCATAGGTCGACCTAAGCCGCTTTTTCCTAAACTAAAGAATGGGATAATAAGGGCATGGCCTAGGCGATCCTATAAGTCAAAAGTGGATTCTCTAGCCCTGGACTTCATCCCTTGCGTAAACCAGACTAAGTAGTCCATTCCGATGTTCTGCTTCATGCCCACTGCAAACTACTCCTTTCAAGTCCTACATCCTCGAAGCTTTCCGCGCCGAGGAAGCACTTGTAGCTAACCGCTTTGCTCTTAATAAAGAAAAAGGCGTCTTCATCTTGTTTAGTATAGACTAGACCTAGCTGAACCTTTTACTGAAATATTTTGTTATCTTTCTTTCTTCTTTTCGGTCAATCAAACATAGAGTTTTTAAGCCCAACAATCAGACGGGCTCAGCGAATGCAGCCTTCACTCAAAACCAAAAAACAAGCTCGTAGGCCTTTATAGAATAGACCATTATACAGCCGGTCAAACTATGGGTGATTACACAGCATTTAGCTAAACGTGAGATTTGAAGGGCTAGGTAGGAGAGCTGGCAAGAAAAGAGATTTCGTATTCGTATATTGGTTTGTACTTCGTTCCTTGGAACGGGAAGGCAGACTGCCCCTGGAATTTCTCATTTGATGTTTCTCTTGTCGAGTCAATAGAATTTGAGTATACTGTTCAAGAATTACCCGCGGAACGGTACGAGGCCAATGAAAGACCTGGTCTTGGATAGGCCCCTACCCGAGTGCAAACCAGAAGCTATAGCCCCCGACAAGTAAGGCAGAGTTATCTAAAACGGAGGTAGTGGTCAAGTCGTTTAGAGCATACTTCCCGGATGATAGGAAAAGTACTCCGGTTTGACAAAGCAAAGCCAACTGGGTAAGCCAAGTCCGCTGAATCGAGGTACGGTGATGGGTTTGATGAACCTGGGTGGCGGACGAAGAAGGAGCTAGCAGTACTGCGCCAGAGCTAAAGGAGGCACGCGCATACCACTCGCACTCCACGAGTGGATTAGTTGAGTGACTAGACTTGAGATGAATCACTTTTCTAAATCTAAAAAAAGTAGCAAAAATCATAAGAGAAGAAAGATCGTAGCGGAGTAAAGTCTTGCTCCCCTTTCCTCTATCTAAGTCAGAACTCAAACTGAGCCAATTGGGTAATTCTGACCTGAGGTAGCGAACGAGACAGCAAATGGATAGGCTTAAGAAGAGGACTTTTACCCTCAGCAAGTTAAACTAAGATTGGGTCTGGGAAGTCTTAGGGAAGAGATCCCAACATGTTATTATTATTAGACCAAGCCCCTTCAGTGTATGAGTGAAACTAGTCCTTCTGGTGACTGGAGTAGGTCGTACAAGGGGGCAAGAAGAGTGAAGGAAAAAAGATATCTTGGTTTTCTGCCCCAAAAGTACTAGTCCACTCTTTCGGCAAGGTATAGTAAACAACAGAATGAATGGTAAAGTCATAGTGTACGTGGGGAAGCAAATCCCCTTTTTTGACATGCAACAGGATTAAGAATCCCAGGGTGGGAGTAGATTGTTATAACTCGGTCGGTGTTGTAAAACATAGTCCGACTTGCAGCGGGTAATGAGAATGTAAAGCGCGCTAGCTGCAATCCTTTTTTTCTATGATTTCCGAAGTGATTCTCTACGTGTTCTATCTTCTTTACAACTTGAGCGAGCCTTTCTGCGAGATTATACACTAATCGTTGTCAACTCCGCGGGTTAGCTGGTTGGTCTCATTCGGGGCGATGGTGTAAGCAGGGGGTGAAAGCTCTTTGTATAGGTTCTCTAAACAGCTACTAGCGAGCAGGGACGATGAATTTTTTGTATGTGGATAGCTTGGCTTGGAAGAGGTTGGTGCCATATGCTAGTTTCTTTTTATTAGAGAGAACAGAGAAAGCGCTAGGGCACTCGTTTCAATCATCTGCAGTGGCTTCCATTCTATAGATTTGATCAGCAAATCGATTGTTTTTTCGATAGGGAAAAGCAGCAATTAACACTACTTGGTGAAATAGATGTACCGATTAACTCGTTGTCTTCTGATAGATAAAGAAATGTCTGGTCACACAAACCCTTCCATTTGACTTCTACGGTTAAGGTTGTTCGCCTCTTTTCTACTTATTTAGTATTAGATAGCAAAGAAGGCTATCAACGACGAGTTGTTCCCATCATTGACCCCCCATAACGAATAGATGACAGAAGATTCTCTAGTTAGTAGCGATGATTCTTGGCTAGTAAAGGCAAATGGCTTACTAATAATAATTAACCTATTCAAATTAGGTCCATTATTAGGACAGTTAGTTTTTTGTCAATCGGCTTTGCCACAAGAGCGATGAATACGATCTCCCAATCAACGATGAGGTCTCGTCGCACCCCTTTACAATTCTTCGAGAGTAGCAATCGATCCAATGTGGATTGGCTACTCATTATCCGCCCTACCAGCCTGAACTTTTATGCCTATAGGGGCTCTGTTCCACACACATATCTGTCCGGATGCTGTGATCGGATTGGAAGAAAATCAGGCCTTGCTTGACCCGCGGACTTGAAACTATTTAAAGATGCCCTTTCCCTGCGCTCTGAAAAAAGAAGATTCTAATGAATCCAAAGAAAGTAGCACAGGTCTGCTAATAATTACTGATTTTAGACTACATTAAAGCCTCATAAACCTATAAAAATATGCGATTCCCTCACTCGCTAGCAACCTAAGAAAATGGGATTCCTGTTAGCAACTAACTGGCTCTCGTACTCGGAACTCTTTCCGCTCCGTGGGTTGTTTAGGGCGAGCCAATAGCATTCCCTCTTTTTCTTGTTTAGGTAAAGGTCGTCCCTAGTCCGTCTATATCTCATTACATGATTAGGAAATCTGGTGTAACAGACTCCACTAACTATAGGCTTATAATCACCACATTCATCATCAACGAGAGTGAAAGCGTCTTCATGCTCGGCAGGAGCTACATTGGAACAAAGCAGGGCTGAAAGAAGATAGGCACAGGAAGCTGGGCACACCAGAGGCTAAGGGCGAGCAAGAGACTTTTATGACTTCACTTCGCTTCGTTCGTTGGGATTAATTGAACTCAGTCTGACTTTCTTTTTCCCATGTGTTCCCTTTGTCAATAACCAAGAAAAGCTCTCTATAGTATACTTCTTCACTTCACTACTCGTACAGGCTTGACGGAGTTAAGCTGTCTGGAGGAAAGAATTTTGTCTCAATCAATCATGCCTCAACTGGATCAATTCACTTATTTCACACAATTCTTCTGGTCATGCCTTTTCCTCTTTACTTTCTATATTATATGGACGGTACTTTAGAAGCGAAGTGAAGTCAAAGAGAGGGAAGAAAGGAGAGGGTGAACGCGAAAGTCAAGTGAATGCTTTCTATGCCACAATAGGGACAAGGGTGGGGAAGGAATGAACCAATGGGTAAACGAGCGAATGAACGGCAGCAGGTATCCTCCAGTAGTGTACCCGTATGATCTATCCGTCTAACGGTGTAGCTAGTCTGAACGAGCCGGTATGAATGAGCTACTATTCATGGTTAGCTTCCGACCAGTGGGTTACTGATATTTCTTTTCTGTATTCCTTGACGGAAGAGTGAGAAGTCTCTGATAAGATGGATTTTTTAATCAAACATTATCTTCCCCCCGGTTCTTCACTATTCCTTCAAGGAATGAGCTCGCATAGGAGACAAAAGTACGATGCAATTGAGCTTCATTTATGTGATTTCGGAAAGTCTGTGCATACATGATTTCCACGTACGTCAAAGTGACAAAAACCCAACAAACTTTTCGAAGTTCAGTCTGCGAGGGTTGATAAACTCATTCGAGAAAGCATCTTTTTGGTACCTACTGAAAAAGGTATTGCTTAAGTTACGCACTTTTGTTTTCACCTCGAAAACGGTGTTCAAAACCACGTATTTTGAGGATGATTGGAAGATATCAAAAGAAGCCTGATTATTTGCTTAACACATAAGGATCGATGTAATTGAGTTCTCGATTAAAGATAGAATGAGAAGTTGATCCCCAACTTTAGAAGCAAAGCGAAGTGAAGGAAAGGTGTAATTGAGAGCGAAAGCACTTCCGATCTGAGGCCTGACTCGAGGCTAATCAGCTGTGTAAAGGCTAGTGGCACGGTTAGCTCAAACCCCGTTCTGATAAGGAAGCAAGTTTCCATACAGAGAATCAGAAGAAGCTGTTGAATGGCTACTAAATGAAGAGGAGTTTAGCATATGATGCTGCTTTCTCTTCAGTTGCCTATCCCGCTATTGGTGATGGCGGTGCAACTCGTGCTGCTTAAACGAATGCTGGTGAGTAAAACAGGTGGAGGTTCAAATGCATCTGGCAACTAGCCACCTTTCACGCTGCTCCTGTTACCACCTTTGCTTATATTGCTATTGAGAGTGCTGGTTCTAGATCAACAGATTCAACTGCAATTGCTGCTGACTTTGCCTCTTCTAGCGTGATTGGTTGGGCCAGACTCTTCCTCTCTTTTTCACTCCCCCATCCCTCCTCAAGGTTGGGAACAAGACGGATATGCCAATGGCGTCTATCAGAGAGTGGTTTCCTGGATTGGTTGGTTTGAGGAGTTCAGGCGTTAAATTACTGTAGATTGAGATGCAGCTCTTTGATCTCCACTTGGGTCAGCAGTTGAACTCGTTGCTGAAGACCTTTAAGCTGCTCTTGCTGACTTCCCGTGGGACTTTCCCTCGTCAACTGGGCTCCGATCCTCTTTCTTTTCTATAGCTCTCTATTGAATAGAGAGTCGGTGCCAGTGGAAGAATGGAATGAAGAATCAATTGAGCTGCTTGTCGTTCGAGTGATAGAAAAAAATATAGCCGCTGCTTCCATAAAAGCTCATCTGGTTCGCTCCGAGGGTTAGGAGAAAGGGCTGGTCGATCAGTCAGTTGGAGTCAACTGGCCCTTATCTTTCCGGGACTACTTCTTTCTTAGACGAAATTTCATAAGAGAAGAAAGCGTAGAAAAGAAAGGTTTTGATTCTTTGCTTTGCCTTTACGAGTTGAGTAAACAAAGAAAAAAGCTTGATAATGAGCGTTCACTTCAGGGTCCGAAGGAGATCTACTTGCTTTTTTCTTTTTCATCGAGATTGGCTTGGTGTTCAGTGTACCGGCTTGTCTAGCCTATGCGAAGCAAGCCGGAACTGGCTCCAGGCCAACGTCAGGCTGGAAAAGCCTTTTATCGTATTCAACCTTTCCGCCTTTCCTAACCTTGCTCGATCCAATAGCCCTTCCTAGCCACCCAAAGGAAGTAAGAAGCTTTGACTGCGTTGACTTCTTCTACTAGTAGAGTGAGTAACCTTGCCAATGGCGCACACGCCACGTTTGAGAAGTAAAAACAACTTCCATCTGACCGCTTTCACGCTTCCTGAATCCAGCCGGTTAATCTAATATGAATAGTTCGCCAGGGGGAATTTGATCTTCAGGTAAGGTGCGTATTGTATCGGATAAAAGGCTGCGAATAGGCCTCCTCTCCACCTAGGCGAAAGATAGGGCGGGCGCTAGAGGAGAGCGCTGGAAAGAGAGGACTTTCCGAACAAGCCTTAAGCTTGAATGAGACACCGGGCATCTATCTTCTTTTCTTTCACATTTCCCAAAACTCATTCGATTGCTCGTGACGGGATGGAGAAAGATGGGGGTAGGGACTCTTGATGTAAGGTAAGATGCAAGCGGTCTAACTCGGGTAAACAGATGAGCCGGAGTAGGTAGGCAACTATCCTACAGGGTTTGAGAGTCTTGATAGGTGGGAGACTGCTGACGCGTTCGATCAAGATAGAGACAAGCGGGCCTATGATGTGTGACGATGGTGAGGTCTTTCTAGCCAGAGCTAATCCCCGAGGACGGAATCAAAAAAGATGCCAATTTTACGAGAATCGGAACCAAGAAAGATCAAATTTATATAATGACTGGAACTGCTCCCTAAGACCCGGTCGTTCTCCCGTGAGCTATGCTGTGATGGGATAACCGTTGAGAAAGAGGCTTGCTGACGATGCATATGAACAATAGATAGAGTCAAGTCACTGCGCTACTGCCCAGCCCTAATGAGATAGGCGAATGGATCGGTGAAACCACCCTGTCCGCACCAGCTTGATATACCGAATTCAAGGGCTCAGTAAGGACGGGAATTCTCTTTATATAAAAAATATCCGGCCGATTGAAGAGAGAGACTCCGGCTTAGCCTTCGCTGCTCCCTCAGTCAGGACAGTCAATGTTGTAAGAAATCATCTGCTGGCGGTAGTAAGGAGTAAAATACGGGCAAAAAGCCCTATGGAAGGGTCTATGACTTCACTTCGCTTCGTTCGTTGGGTGGAAATGAGAAGGCTGGGAAAGGCAGTGGGGGATTTCAGGGATAGGCTCACTCTGGGATTGGTACACCAGCCTCTAAGCCTTCTTAATCAAACCAATCCTTCTAATCGAACTAGTACGAGGAAAGAGTCTACCGAAGGGGCAGCGCTTTCTGTTGTTCCTGAGCCCGCGATTAGGAACTAATCGAATAAGGGCATAAGAGCAGGAGCAGGTTCGATCACTCAGGAGCAGGTACGAGTTCTGAGTTCCTGATAAACCGAATATCTGGTATCTGGGAAAGGAGCAGGATCAGTAAACCGGTACAGGATCTGGGATTGGTTCCGAGTTCCTGAGCTAATGTTGCTAAACCATAAACAATCCATTGATTGATGTCAGAGCACTTGAAGGTGAGAGTGACATTCTTGAGTATACCTTAGTCCATAATTGGATGGATGAACTAAGAAAGCACAAATCCATTCTACGGCCATCTATCTTCGTTATAACGAGACTTTTTGACCCCTCTTGACTGATTATTTATTTTAGATCACTTTTATTGATCTTGAAAGGCGCAACGCAACAGAGGCAAGGTTAGCGTAGCTTGACTATCCCACTAGCGATCCTACTTCAACGACATTCTCGTAATACGTAATCAAAGTATCCCGTGTAGGAGTGGCAGCCGTAGTTCCGATCGATGAAGATCTTGGCAAGCACCGAAAGACAGGAATGATCAAAGAGAGGCCGAAAGGTGGGCATTAGAGCGGAATAGAGTTGCTACACCGTTTCGTTTGGCATTACCACCTCTCTACGAAAGATGTGGTTTGTTCAGCGCAGTATCCAAGTGAATCAGAACGCGTTCGCTATACCGATAAAATATAGCATGCCTTTTTCTATTCATCTCGATCCATTGAACTGGCATTTTGTTCTACTCCACTACCTATACAAAAATATAGCATTTTTTGGGCCCAGAAACAAGAAAACGGATCGGTTATAGTATCCAAAACAGAGGCGCCATCCACGCATTCGTGAGAGCGCACAATACTCTTTATTCTATGATGGGAAAATCCCGATAGTTCGCATCAATAGGAAATGTTACTTCTATAGAAGGTAGAGCCCTTTCCCAGTAGTTCCTCCGTAGTCCAGAGGTTGGGTAAGCAGTAATTCCGAGTACGGGTGTTATCGCTGCGCGCCGATACCGATAGTTGTTTCCGAGTTCCGATCCATAATACTGGTTTACTTGCTTATTCCGGCTTATATGCTGTTGAATTCAATTCCATTCATGCCTCCGGTCTTCCCATACCTACTTGGCCTAAGCCGGAGTTCAGTCTTCTCCTGTAGGTTCGCCTGGTGCCGGAATCCTGTCTTCCCTCTTGCCATACCTACTCCTATTGGTAGTCATGTTCCATACTTGCTTTAGTACCATGTTTCCCTCTTCCGTCTTCCCCCGGCAGGATTGATTAACTCAATAATGCCTCATTAATGCGCTGGTAGTTAGCAACGTAGGTTCGGCAGCTCAGTTGTTAGCTACACATGTCTCGTTCACCTGCTCTCCGGCTTAGTCCTATACCTGCTTTCCTGCTTTGTCCGTGCCGGCGTAGCTCATTAGCAACATCGGTAGCTACAATGGGCGAAGCAACTCATTAGCTGCAGTGAACGAAGCTCCTTTGCCTACTTGGTTCGCCTGCCGGGGTTGGTTAGCTCACTTGGTTCGGTAGCTCATTAGGTATGTCGATAGCTCCGTTGCCTCCTCTCATGTCCCATCCCGTAGGCTGCAGGCGTAGCTCAGTAGGCTAACTCAATAACTCGATAGCTGCTAACGGAAATACTGAAAAGGATGCCACCTTCGGGAACTCTTTCAGGGATATCCGAGGAACATGCACGCAGCGAACTCAGGGGATTCACTCATGCATGCAAGAATGCTAGCAACAATGGGCGCGAAAGCGAGGTTTCGAAGAACTAGGCTAGTCTTGGCTTCCACCAGGCGAGGGCGAAGCAACGAGGGATTCACTCAGGAGCTCAATCGAGGGTTATGGTTCACCCGTAGGTATCGACCCGGAGTTCAGGCGTTTCCCAGTCTTATTGATCCCCCGTTCTCCCGTAGACTCGGAAAGTCGCTACCAAACTACAGTAGTTACACGACTCGGAACGGCGGGATACCCATTCACAACAATCGGAACGTGGAGACGTGAATACAACACCTACAAGCAGTGGATCCGGGATAGCACCCGAAAGACGAGTACCCGAAACGCCAGCAAGCGGGGAATCCGGAAGACTTGGAAATAAGAAAGAAGATCCACTTGACAGCTTCCGAACGAGGTACCACGCACTGACTTTCCCGATCCCTTGACCTGTTTCTGGCTACTCCCTTTCCGAGTTCCCAACAATGCAATACGAATAACAATCTCTTGACTGAAAGCGAAAACAATTTCTCTTATCTTATCGCGCGCAAGGAAGGAACCTCCTGACCTTTTCCTTTGGAGCTTCCCAACGGCAAGACCAACCTAACTACTGACTTTCCTACGAGAGAAATCGCGTCTTCCTTTCCCTCCCAACCGCACGTGCAAAAGATGCTATTTTTCTCGGCCCTCACCTAACCCGTTCTGGTATCGTATCTATTCTACAACCCAACTCGTAATCCGAACTCCACTCGCCAACCCGACTCCAGGACCGATGGTAAAACCCGCTTGACCTCTTTCCTCTGGTAGATACTTAGCAGGCTTTTACTTTATTTACCGCATTTCCGAACCCAATTCGGTAAGACCGGTGGAATACCAGATCGATCCTTTGGGGAAACTATCAGAGCTGGTTTTCGACGAAAAAGAAATGAGTTTTCAGCTAGAAATGCTATATGGCAGGACGATAGTTCTTGTTCAGGGGAAAGAATAGGAAAGGTAGAGCCCTTTATCGAGCCAGGCTTCGTTAAAGTGTCCTCATTTGCGGGATCGGAAGTTCCATGAGGGGGTAAGAAAGGTCTGCGGTACACTCTCCCGATCTGCCAAATCAATTATCAAGTACGGACATTTTAGGTCAGTTTTGGACAAATCTATCCTTTTGGTCAAGAGTTTGGAAAAGGGCTTCATCTTTTGCGCGGTTTTGGACAAAGGACTTCACCGATAGTTCAGTCAGCCCTTACTCGAATTAGTCCTCATTCGGGGGATGGAAGGCGGGATTTAACTACGATTCGCATGTGTTAAGCATAGAGCTAGACGAACCGATAAATCTTATTATAATGACCAAAATACGGGATTTTTGCATCAAAAAAGACCAATTCTGGAAAATGCTTTATTTAAGAAAATATAAGTCACTCATTTTAGAGCAAGATAAATAGTTCATCAGTTTCGGGAAAAGATCAAGATTCCCGGGTGGTTTGGTCAAAAAGTCATCGATTTCTCGTTATAGTTGGCCGGACGAGGTCTCCTCTCGGTTATAGTTATTGGTAAAAGGGTCGTATCTGGTCATCCGGTCCAAGGGGCGAAAGATTATCCCTTGGGTGGTTCCTTTTCGTAGCATCAGTACGGTAGGCAGCGTTTGACTTGTTGTATAGGACTGGGAGCTCTGCTCCCTTTTTCCCTGTAGCTGCTGCTGCTGAGCCCGAGTCGAAGACTTAAGAGGTATAGTTAAGAACAACCCTATAGGAGTAGTTATTTAATACCAATGGTGAAAAGAAAGACTTGTTAAATTGAACTGGAAGTCTTGTTTTAATTGCTGTGACCAGTAATTCATTTGAGCTAACCAACGATGTATAGCTAGATCGGTGAATAGTGACTTCCAGCCCCTCTTCATTGCAGTGATCGGTAAATCGTTTGTTCTGTTGGCAGGAGAGAGGCGGCACGGTAACAACGATGCTCCTGTTGAAAGAGCTGTGTATATCGAGAGTAAAGGACGGGCTATGTACGATCCATCCCTCATTGATGTCTCGGAAGTGCGATAAGAATCAGTCCGTGAGTGTTAGCCTGGTGATGAGCTGGGGCTAGCACGGAAGGGGCAGAATGGAAGGAGAGGTTTGCGGCGATAACGATGATGTATTGACTTTCTCCTGTTGGCACACTCGCCTATATTGATAGTTCTAGTAGTAGAACAGCTGTGGTGTGGACCGGTCCTCGCGGTGTATTGGATAAAGATGTTTAGGCAGAGGAAGGATAGTCTGGAGAGAATGTGCAATACAGTACAGCGATCGAAGCGAGTACAGAGGGAAGTGCTAGGGCAGCGATCGTTCCAGCGCATGGTAATAACAGGAAGGAAAGAAGAGAAGACAGCTGCATGAAAGCGAGGCATGACGGCGTTGGTGTTTCACTTTTATTTGATATATTGTGTATGTGTTGCGTCGCATGCACTGTAGCTAGCGCTTGCTCGTAGCTGCCTTGACAGACGACAGAGATGGGCAGGAGCAAGACTTTGCCCCTCATTTTGTGTAACTTGGTGCCAGCTTTACTGGAAACATTGGCAAAGGGGTGGATGTACGTTAGAGGCCCTTGGCGAAGAATGCGAAGGCCAGGGCACCTCTTATAGAGGATATTGCCTTTGTGCTTTTTGTTAGCGGCCGCCTCTTGCCCAAAATGGAGGAGATCGAAGAGCAAACGCATGATCACGAGAAAGAAAGGGAGAAGCGAACGAATAGAGAAAGTGATGCGGACACGACACGCGAATGCCTCTTTTTGGTATTGGACGCTAGACATATGTCAGCACACATGCGAGTTGCACGTGCTGATCCCATTCATAACATGAATAGAAACTGCGGCTGTAGCTGAACACCTCTCTTTCCGAAGTTCAGGACAGACTTCTCCGCAAACCCAGATCACGTAGATAACGTAAACGTAACTCTTCGTCTTCAAGGGGACTTTTTTTGCACCCATTTCTGAAGGGAATCGGACAGTATACATCATCCCCACCCTAGACCGCACAAAAGGACGTCGAAATGTCTCCCTAAAGGAATGAGGAGAAGAGCACGAGCTAAGCGGTGAGAGAGGAATATACTTGCTCCTGTTGATACACGCACGCTATGTACGTACGTTGAACACCGAGTATGTACATCTATAGTGAAGGAGAAGCTGATTCAAGTAATAACTTTTTTAAAGAAGTGAGAAGTTATGAATTGCGTAAGTAAAGCCAAGCCCTAAAAAGGAAAGCATTAGATCAAGAAGATAAAGCTTTGGAAGTCATAGTACCATGTGTCTTCCCTCTGCTCCTTCCTTCGTCTAAACTAGTTCTTCCTTTCCCAACTCGATGAATCTTTTGATTCGATGACGGACCTTACTTAAGATTCAGTAGTGGTGGAGAATTCCGTTGACAAGGACGCCGACCGGAAACTACCTGGGAAAGAAGCTTAGCAAGGATCTCTTTTAGCATTTCGCATCGGAACGTCTTGAGCGGGCTTTGGAAAGGGAAAAGCAATAGCTCGCCCGGGAACCTGTCTTTTCTTTTGGAAGGACGTGCTTGGGAACTCGAACCCACAGCTAGTCCTCATTGCATCCTACGGCCAATTCCCATTCATTCCTCGGTCTCATTTTCTCAAATGAAGGTTCTTGTGCCTGCCCTCTCTTCCCGCCAGTCCGTCTTTCAGCCTATATTGGATAGGACCAGGTCAAGCCCAAAAGTGAGCTCATTTTCTTTGGCCCTTATACCGCCCTTTCGAAAGGTACGTCTTTTATTCCCTAATTCCAAATGAGGAGGATTCCTCATCTCTCCCATCTTACCAATACTCTTTGAAACCTCCTTTCTTGTATACAACCTCCGGTCTTGCCAGCCGAAATAGAATACCCCCAAAAGCTTCTTCAATAGCAGGGGATGGGACAACCGATGGGATAAGGTCGAAGACGGAAGTGATTGACATCTTAAAGTTGGCTTCTTGACCAGCTCTTGTCTAATAAAATATTGATTCTCATAAAGGAAAGAAGAGAAGAAGACGGATTCGAATAGTTCTTTGAAGGGAAAAAACTCATTAGTCTTAGTCAGCCCTTTCATTTCTATGAGTGCTTTTAAAGGCAAGTGAGTGCTTCAGCAAGTAGCAGCGACCCTAGGATTAAGTAAAGGGGTATAGAGCGAATCTCCTGCTTCTTCTTCCGCTTGTCTAAACTCTTTGGCAAGGAGGAGTGAGAAGAAGGCCTAGAATGAGTCTTTGGCAAGTGTGATGCAAGGCAGCGAGAGCTCTATCGGACTAATGGAGCTGGAGCGAATAGGCAAAGCAAGTAAGAAAGCAAAACAGGGAAAGAGGGTCAGCCGTGAAGTTCAGTCTTTTATTAAGCTTTTTCCCTTCTCTGATTATTCAATTATCCGCCTAAGTCCTTAGGAGTGACTTGACAAAGAGATCTGCTGAATTGCATCGACCCTTATCGGATAGAGATTTCACTTAGAAATAAATAGTCGTTCTAGAATGAGTGCTATTTCTAGTAATCGGAGAAAGGTCTGATCTCTATATAGGCTAACCCTTGAAATAGGAATTGAGATAATGTCAGAACTTGAGAATGTCCTTTCGTCAGTTGCAGCTTTATGCCTTGATAGTTGCTCTTTGATTGGCTATTTACCGGGTTTTTGCCAATAAAGGCTTAGGAATAGAATCGGCGCTTGAGAGGAAAGTGATCTTCTGACCGAGGAATCATAGGAGGAACGGAACACCACCACAAAATCAGAGCAATAAAGACAGCGACTGATAAGGGCAGGTCAGCAGCCGCAGACCTAAGAAGAAAAGAGGAATAGAGAAGGGAGATGCTAACTTAAGCTTCGGTTTGGGGGTTTAAGCTGTGAACTCAAAGGAGGTAGCTCGAAAGATCTTAAAAGAGAGATTCCACCTCAAGAAAAAGAAACCCCTGGTACTCACTCAAGAACTATGGAAAATAGGTACTAGCAGAGAAAGAGGTCGAAGTGAATAAAAACCTAACTGCTTACAGCAGATGTTCTTGCTGAGAAATAGGACTTCGTTCAGTTTGCTGGACCATTCTGTGGATTTCCTGGTCTTGTGAAGGGATGATCTCTTGTCTTTCTGGATAGCTCTGCCATCTTCTAGGATCCAATTCCCTACCGAGATGGATTCTCTTCTATGCGGTTCTGGTTCAGCCACCCACTTATCACTCTACGACGGGTCCCCTCTTATTTGCAAGGCCGATGGGGACTATCTCTGTCCTTCCTTCCCTATTCTCACTATCTCGAAGGGCTTCGTACTTTCAGAGAGTGATGTCCGCCGTCTCTATAAGTCCGGGAAACTAAAGCAGTCTAAACCCTCAGCCGAAAGGACAAGGTGACATGCGTGAATGCTGCAAGGGTAGCCTAATAGAGGTTCAATTCCTTTCTTAAGAAAGGAAAAAGTACTCTATCCGGGTATGGATCTTATGCCTATAAGGTATGCTAGGGCTTTCGAAGTAGATAAGACTATAGATAAAAAGTAGGATAGAGGAGATGGTGAAAAGCCTACTTCTTTTCTATTTAATAATGCGGAATGTAGACCCGGAAGAAATGTATTCTAGGAATTAGGCACCATCCTCTCCTAAAATGAAACAAAGACAGGCATGCTACTTCCTACTTCAGCTATATGCTTACAACACTTAATACATGAAATTCGATGCGTCAACTATGGAAGTTCCGATAAGAAAGAAATATAGCTAGATTCACTAGCTGCGTCCTCCAACAGCTGAAATAGAAGTTCGCGGTCAGCTCATTGTATTATACTTACTTTACTGTTGAATCTACCTACGTACTTTTTCTTTGTTTGTTGAAAGGTTAGCCCAACAATTCAAAGAACTCAAATTCTTTATTGAGTGCCATCCGGTTGATTGACTCGTCTCACGAGGAAGCGGTTATCTTTTTTGGTCGGTAAGAAGACCGATGCCTTCAGAAGTGAGAAGGGCCCTTCTCTCGGTAGGGTCACTTCTTAGCGAAGGTTTCCTGGACGGTAGCGAAAGGTTGGTTCAATCAGAGAGAGAGACAACTATTGAAGGAGACCAACAGCTGCACAAGGAGATATTTTGTTCTTGGGACACTGGATCGGGGATGGGCACATTCGCATGGCCTACTGGATAGGATGGAAGGCCCGTGCTATCACCGAATGGAAGGCTTCTATATAAATGGACAAGAAAAGATCGGAAAGCCTACTCCCCCCTATTATTACAGCCGATGAAAGAAGACTTGTGCTGTTATTGTCTTGCTGTGTATGGGCATAGCTCCAAACGTGCAGCAAGTGCTGCAGGGATAGGATAAAAAATGACATTATCCGTTCTAGACAATAGATCTGCATACATATAGGAAGGCATCTCCTCTTTTTCGTCTCCTACTTAGGTTTTCATTATCAAGATGGGGTTCGTGTATAGTGTACCGCAAGAGTGTGTGTAGCCTATGTCAGCCCTTGAGGAGCAAGATTGATCAGAAGAAGGGGAAGCTGCTCTCCTTTATTCCGCTCTTTCGGGATTTATGTTAGGAAGTTTTAGAGCCAAACAGGGGGAGTAATAGAGAGCACAGCCAAGGGAGTTTAGGCCGACCTTTCGCGATTCCTCATAGCTAGCTAGACCCCACTTTTCTAAGAAACCGCTAAACTTCAAGGCATCCAGAAGGAAGAGCCCCTAAGACACGAGACACGCGTAAATATCTTACAACTTTAGTTGATGTCCTGGGGCCCATAAGTAACCCCTTTTAAACGTTTCACGTAAGTAGAGGAGATCGAGAAGGAACCCTTATTAAGATAATGAAGATTCTCCCTAGATCCGTGTAATTAAGGAGCGCCAATGCAATGTATTGACTGAAGCCAGCGTATAGGAAAAATCAACTAGCACTAGAGCGGTTGAAACCTTGTAGACGAGATTTTCAGATAGTTGTACCTTCGGGCAGGGAAGACAGAATAAAAGGGGCCACAATCCACTTTTGTTTACCGATCGGCTCAGGATCGAGAGCCCAATTGACTAGCATAGGGTACTCATCCTTGTAAAGTGATATGGAAATGGGAAGGTCCACAACATAGTTGGATCTTTCTCTGGTTAGCGTTTAAGGAGCGTTTGTTAACTAAATTGTGAGAGGCATCGAAGACATTTGATAGCTAATCCTCTTTGTACTAAATGTGGATGGCATATGGAAAGTGTCAGTCCTACAGACGAGGTAAAAAAAGGATAGGCTTTCCCTATCCAAAGTAACTGAAATGCCAAAGAAACCTCCCTGCCCCTAGGTCAATTATATCGAGCCTACATAGCCAGGCCATAAGAAATAGCATCTACGCCCTTATCGATAGTCTATTCGAGAGAGAACTCGGGGACTCATACTCATATCACATTTTCGGCTCGGGATGACCGGCAGGGCCCTTCGAAGATCAATAGTCGTTAAGTGAGCCGCCTAGTGCCAAGGAATGAATTCGGTTAGACTACGGGAATCGACGATCTTAGATCTCGGCGTCCGTCTTTACTTTCTATGTAGATCTCTTCTTTCTGGTTCCAAGATTGACTCTCATTTCAGGGGTGGCACGAGCTTGGGTTGTCGGCGGCATGAAGGATACGGTAGAATGTTAGACTTTCTTATATAGTATAGTCATATTCTCCAACAAGGAGAAAGCATTGAAGGGCTGCTTCAGCGGAGTCAAGACAAGAGACTCCCATCCCGGAACACTTACCATATCTGTCTTCTTTGTAAAAGAATAATTACTTATCAAAGAATAATTATTTTTCCGCTTAGCCTGAAAGATAGAGAGAGTTAGATCCGGGCATTGATGTGGAACTCTTTCGTCTGCCAAGGCACGTCTTCATCAAACTCTCGAACAATACTAAAAGAGTTGATGGAAGGATTGATGTTTAGGTCAATTACATCGAGCCATTCTTTCCGTCTCCGCACTGCATGCCCCGGGCGAGCCCATCTGCCTATTGTCTTCTTCTTCGAGTTTCGCCTCTTTTCTATCGTCTCTACTTTCGGAATTGGCCCTTGATGGTCCTACGTGTCTCACGCCCCAACGTAGCTAGGGTTAGTGTAGAAGTTGGTCTTCTCAAGGAAAACCTCCCAAATCGTCTTTGGATTGGATCTACTTTATTTTATATGGATCACTAGCAAGAAATTTGCAAATTTAGTGCGCGAAAATCAATCACATCCCTGCTGGCTTTGGAAGCTCTCTTCAACCGGCTCGGTTCGGGCTCACTGAAGGGTGTTTCAATCAAGTTCTAGATTTGTTTCAGTGTTTGCTTTCTCTTGTAAGATACATCATGTGTTAAGCATTGCACAAGTATAGTTAGTAAAGTTGAGGTATGGCTGTGGAAACTTCTTGACTCTAAGGGTCATGGCACATTTTGTTCATTGTTTTCTTAGTCTTTTTTTGAGTGTGAATTATCCCTTTCCTTTGATTCCTCCTATCGGCCAGCCGAGCTATTGGAATAAAGGAGTAAGGATAAGGCGATTTACTGCAGTGAAGTGACCTTTTTAAGGTGAAGGGTTACCTTCCTTTTTTTTGGAAGGCTTTCCAGCGTTAAGTTCAAACTCTCTTCCATACTGCTTCGAACTCTTCTGTCTATCCCATAATATCCCTCCTATCCCTCTCTTCAGTCCAAACTCCAAAACCGGAACCCAAGATTCTGACTCTCTAATATAAGGCACCACATATATACATACTAATTTTGAACATCTGTAACATAGTCCACTGTTGGCGGAAGCCAATTGCCATCCTCCTTTTAAAACATAGTAAGCATCCCGCTCTTCTCTTAAGAATATGCATATCCATACCGACCAAGCAAGGAAGGCAGTTCGTCTCCAACGGGCAAGTCAGGATCCATGTAATTGAGTTGAAGAATTTCAAATGAAATAATAACGGAACTTCGCGTCCGTCATTTCACTCCATCTAACCAAAGACCTTCATTCATATCTAAGCGAGAAAAGGATTGTCTTTTTAAGTGCATCTCCGGAAAGGCTTTTCTTAACTTATCCTTCGCGGTCTATCTCGAAGCGTCTATAGTTATCCGATGGTTATGAAATCTAGAATCTCATTGACTCAATTACATCGACCCTCGGCCATCTTGATCTGGTTATAGAAAGAGTATAGAAGGGAATAGATTCATTTATTTTACACAATTCTTCTGCTTTTTTATCTTTTAATAAGGAGTCAAATGCATCGAGAAACTGCTCGCCCAATAGAGCTTTGCCTCGCGTGGACCAGGCCTTATGGCGGTCCCGCAAAGCCGGTCACCGAGCAGCTAAGAGAATGACTCAAGAAGAGAGCCAGACTGAATTCAAAAAGTAGGGGAGATCTTTTTCATACATTACAGCAAGAAAGCCATATAGCGGCATTTCTCTTGGTTAGCTCCTTACTCTCTCGGGCGAGGGGAAGAAGCGATATAGCTTATGTGAAACCTTTCCAACTAAGAGTTGGTTCAGTATGGAAATTCCATTCAAACCGGTTCTGCGCCATTCCTGCTTTCTAACTTGATTGCTTCTAGTTGGGAATCCACGCCTAATTTATATTGCCTTCTGCTAAGGGAAATAGAGGAAGGTTTTAAAGAATCTCGACCAAACAAACTTTTCGAAGCGAAGTGAAGTCAAAGAGTGAAAGCGACTTTCGGGGGAGAACTCTTACTCACAGACTCCCTGAAACCAAGAGACAAGACAGAAGATGCAAAGGATACTATGGATTCAGAGTGAGCCTCTATCCTATGTGACGGAGTAGAGAAGAGAACACCTTCAACCGACTTCACTTCGCTCTCCTCTCCTGGCAACGTCGAGCATATGTTATAACCTTTCTTTCACTTCGCTTCGAAAAGTTTGTACGGTTCAAAGTCGTGCTAAAATTCAACTTGGTGCCATCTTGAAGACTCTTCCAAAATCGAGATGTAAAGCGAGGGTCTCGATCCGAAACAATGGATATCGGCACTCCGCTCACAATTTCCGCGATATACAATTTGGCTAACTTATCTAGCGAATCCGTTTGCTGGATTTCTATAAAGTGAGCACACTTCGACAAACGATCCACGATCACCCATATTGCATCATGACGGTGACGGCAACCCAACTACGAAATCCATGGTAATCCTATCCCACTTCCATTGAGGTATGGAAAGTGATTGCAACTTCCCGGCTGGAGCTTGATGTTCTGTTCTGCCTTGATCCGTTGACAAGTAACACACTTGGCCACAAATTCTGCTATCTCCCTCTTCATCGCATGCCACCAATAATTCCTTCGAATATCGCGATACATCTTCGTACTCCCCTACTGAAGAGAATACGAAGCACAATAGGCCTCCTCCATTAATCTTATAATATATCCGGAACACAAATACGAGTCCCATTGCAAAGCATTCCATCTCCTCGAATCAGAAAATCCTTGCCTTTTCCACTTCTAACATTCTCCTTCATCTTTCTTAAGAAACGATCTTGATCTTGTAAGCTTTGAATCGACCCTTATTACATAAAAATTCGGCTGATTGTGAATCTTCAGATACTGTCTTATTCAATCTTTGTTCAATTACTCTTTTACCTGCAAATGCAATATAGGTGTTAGGTTCAGCAATAATGATATCTCCCAACATAGCAACACTAGCCGTCACCCCACCAGTTGTAGGAGATGTAAGGATTGATACATAAAATCACTTTTGATTCGATTGATAATCATATAAAGCAGAAGATATTTTAGCCATTTGCATCTCTTTCAGATCCTTCTTGCATGCGCGCTCCTCCGGAAGCACACACTAAAATAAGAGGTCAAAATTGATTGGTAGCATACTCGATCAAACGAGTGATTTTCTCACCTACTACGCCTCATAAACTGAAAATCCATAACCCCACTACGGGAATGCCGTTTAGTTGCCCTGTGCCTGTTTGAACGGCCTCGGTTAATCCTGTCTTTCTTTGATAAGAATCAATACGATCTTTATAAGGTTCCTCTTCTGAATGAAATGCAAGGGGATCCAGAGATACCATATCTTCATCTATAGGGTCCCAAGTACCTAAGTCAATCGAAAGAAATTCTATCTGAACTACGCATTTGAAAATGATATCCACATTCTTCACAAATATTCATTCTTGACTAGCTCCTTCATAGGCCTAGTGTCTGTCTTCCTACCGAAGGGAGTCCGCCTAGGTGAATATCCTGACTTCTCTTTCTGCTATATATATCTCAATTACATCGAGCCTACGGGACTTGACTTGACCTCACTCATCTGACTCCTCCTCATTAAATGAGTAAAGGTAATAGCCTATGTGCAAACCCCAATCATTGTCGCTATGGGCCTTCCTGCCTAAAAAAAAGATCTTCTCTTCCCTACAAACTTTTCGAAGCGAAGTGAAGGAATAGTAATTCAAGTAAGAAACTTAAAGTCGAAGGGGAAAGCGTAAATGAGATCGAAATAGAAAAAAAAAGCGCTTCTTAAAAGATCTGATCGTCTTCTGGCAAAGGGATTAACCCATTTACTATACGGGCATACGGTATCGAGTATGAAGAGACCTTTTGTCCTCTTGCCAAATCAAATGACACTCTACCTCTTTCCTTCCTATATCCGAAAAGAAGAAGCATTCCCTGGAGTCAAGTCTTTGAATGGATTCACCCTTGAAAAAAAAGAATATGATAAAGATTTATGAAAGAAATCCGATTCTGGATCGAATACCGAGCCTAACTGCTTAGAACCATACCAGTATACAAGAGAAAGATTTGCTTCCATATGCCGATTGGAAAAGGAAGGTACTCTCTAAACAAAGCTATAAGTTCTCCGGAAGAAGAACCCACGAAATGCTTTTCAAGGCGTATTGAGTCTTCCTTACTAATGTAAGGAATAGCGGCCTTTACCGATCAAGCTAAAGAAAAGAATGGAATTCTTCGAAGATAGCTTTTTATCTTTCTTTGGGGAGCACTTTCAGAACAAGAAAAAAAGGCATAAGTTCCATTGTCCCATGCATTAAGTCACCCGTCAGAGTAGAATGTGTTCAGTTTCGATATCGTCAATAGGTGGGAGAAGGGCCGAAGGCAAAGAGTAAATTGCGTAAAGCAAAGAAAGCTCAATTACATCGACCCAACGAACGAAGCGAAGCAAAGTGAAGGAAAGGTGTAATTGACCTCAAAGTACTAGCCTAGCGACTACCTGTCGAGGTACGACCAGATCAGCTTCGAGAGCATCTGTGCGGTAAGCCGTTCTTCAAGCATTCAAAGACACCCTCCCGTAGTCCCCCCGCAGGGTCAAGGCGTGGAAGATCAAAACTACGAGGTCTCGCAAGATGAAGTTTGGAATGCAGTCGACGAGGAAGAACGTAGGAAGTATCAAGAGCTCCGTAACTCAAAAGAGTGGCAGGAAAGAGAGCGTCACATTCTAAAAATAGAAGATGGAAAAAAGGCGATAGGCCAACGGGCCAAGGAGATCGCTCAAGGAAGAGGCTTTACCCCAGCACGCTGCGATGCTGTGGAAGACGCTGCAAAATACGTAGTTGACGATGTAGAGGACGGAAGAGGAGCAACTCCGCTTTCTAGCCAAATTAATGCGACAGTTAAACAATCCTAAGAGCGAGGCGTGGGAGCGCATCGACGAAGAGGTCAAAGGATCTGACAGGAAAGATAGCCGTAACTAGCCTAGCCCGAAAGATAGGATTTCGTAGAGCGCTGGAACTTGACTTTCACCGCTTAAAAATACCGCTACCCGACAACGAAAGCTTAGGAATAAAGACCTTGCTTAGGAGAGCTCTTTCTCCTTAAGGGCAGTTCCTTAGTTGAAGTAAGGTCAATGTAACCAGGACTTCACTGCGCTTCGTTCTTAGGGTCGAGCTCAATTACATCGATCCTACTTCATTGGATGTCTGATTCAAATGGGGGCTGGAAACTGAGATTCATGAAGAGAGGACCCGACGTCACAACCTGTGTCGAGCCTATGAAAGAGTATGCCCGAGTGGAACTGAGAAGATCAAATGACCCGACAGAGCATCCAGTGACCAAGTGCAGTTGACTACAGAACCTGCCAGTATGTAGCAGAATCGCAACATCTCCGCGTACCATCCCGTAGCTAAGCTACATAAGTAGCTAACAGCCTATCCGGAACCAGATCACTACGCATTTCATCCTCTTCTACGCAGCATCTCCCTGGGTCTTTGGACATTCCATTTTTCGGTTGTTGGCTGTGATGCTAGCTTTTCGGCTATTTTCGTTTCGCATTATCCCTAATTTGACTTCACTTCGCTTCGTTCGTTGGGTTGACGTTGAGAGAAAGAGAAAAAGCCCTCTTGTCAGCCATCCCTTTATTAGGGCATTTTCCCGTGGGTCAAATGAAGACGAAAGGGGCCTCTCTATCATTCCTGGTGACCTCCCCTTTAGAGTACCGAGCTGTAGAGCAATCGATCTTTCCGATGATCCCATAGGGAATATTGGCCCGGAGAGGAAAGGTGTAATTGACCTTTTTTCTGTCCATCTTCCTAGCATTGTCGGCTTAACGACTGCATTCACAGCCTGACTAAAGGCTGCAGGGTTGGAGGGCTGTTATCAGAGCTTCCTGGAGCTCTCTTCCCAATAAGAATACGTCCCAGACACTGAGTTTAGCAGGTATCCCCTGGAGTTGTTTGAGGACCTTTTGGGTAACCAACAGGATTTCTTGTACAGTGCTTTTTTTAATACATCAATTGCCCACATTCCAGCTAAAATCTAGCTTAACTTGCCCTTGACGGATCAGTTGACAAGTCCTTTCGAGAAATAAACAAAAGGCATTTACACGATTCAATAAGAAAGGCTCCTGCCCCTAGGAAAGAAAATCCAATTACCAGTCGCAGTTCCAGGTCCTATAACATCGAAACCCCACCCAAAGCAAAGGCCATTACTTGCTGCGTGTAGTTCATCGGATGGTAAATGACTAACATCGCCATGAAGCTTTCATTATCATTATAGGACTCAAATTGGCTCTTGACTTTGATTTTCTTTTTGTTACGCGACCTACATCCCTTGGTGGACGACCTCAAACTATTGGACCTTCCGGCTTGGTTGCAGCTGCTCGAAGAGCCAAAGATCGCTCACCCAGACCAGAACTCGAACAGGGGACGAGCGGGAGGATCAAGAGTTGCTTGGCCCAACTCTTTCTCTTTTTTTAAGGGGTAGCGCTGGTACTGATGCACCAATCAACTATTATAGAGCAAGCATTCGCATTTTCAGTGGAGTCTGCCTGTCAGAACTGATCTTTTGGGCAACCGCCAATAACAAGAAAAAAGAAAAAAGGAGATGTAATACCAGGTCTTGGTCTGCACCAAGAAAGTAGGTCGATTCTGATCCAGTCTGTCGATTGGGTCCTAAGCGAGCCGCTTTCACAGATCGAGGGCCTTGCTCGGACCGGGACCGGGGCAAAGGATTATTCACCGGAGGTCTCTTTTCCAGACCCAGCATCGGGTTAATTCCTAGCGTCGTCGGCCTCGAAGAATTCACGTATAGATAAGGAAAAAAAATACCACCACATTCGGGACACCGAAGAAGAAGCTAAAGAAGGGAGTGAAGGCCTTCCGAGGCGGTAAGGACGAACGCAGCTAATGCAAAGTCAAAGGTCATAACGAGGCCGCCAGCCCTAATCTAACCCAACTTTAGAAGCGAAGTCATAGAGGAATCTGAGGTGCGTGCTTCCAGAAAAGGCGTTATCCTCTGAGGGAAGGACCCGGAAACTTGATAATGATAAAGTCGAAGGGCCACCATCTGAATCAAAATAAATTACACCAGCTACTGCAATTGCTACAGCAACAGTAGAGGACTCCGGCTTAAGCGGAACTTCCGAGACATGGCTAAGGCTTTCGAAACTAGAAACCAAGGGTATGTTTAAAGCACAGTTTCGCCCAGAAGCTCATAGGTCAGGTCGAATACCGGCTTTCTCTCCTTAGCCTATGGATCTGCCTTGCTTTGGCCGAGGCTTCCTTCTCTCCCATTAGCTGTAGAGCATCCAGTTCAAACAGAATCCTAATTTGAGGATGGCACCTTCTTACCCAACTAAATAAAAAGAAATCCCTTTTGCCTGGTGTGAACTACGCCCCCTTCCGAGAACAGATGAATGCTACTTACTTTGGTTCTTTCACCGAGTGTTGGATCCTTCTACTAGCCCTTAAAGAAATAGCCATTGACGCATCGCGTATTCCTCCAACTCCAACAATGGATTCTTCTTGCTTTGGCTGATCTGATCACAGAAGCAAAAAAGGCTCTTCCTGATGTGAGATTTACTGGTATGAAAGTCGCTAGGGAGGTAGGAGAGCAGTAAAGACTAGCACCGGATTCTTTCAAAGAGAAAGATCGGATTCTATACCAGCCCTTTCTCTCCATCTCAGAAGGAGAGTGGAATCCCTTGGCTACGAAAGAAGGCTAGGTCAAAACTATCGAGCCAGAGCAGTCTAACAAGGGGCAAGAGACTCTTTGTTCACAGCTTCACATCCTAGTGCCAAGGTGCCCAGCTAAAGCGAAAGGGCTGATTCAATATCACCGGAGTCGTGAACAGAGAAAGCCTCGTCTACCGCTCCTCGGGTCAACACCAAGGCAAGATTGATGCTTATAGCCTGAATGCCAAGGAAAGACGTCCAAAAGCATCAAAAGCTTCTTTTTCTATAAGATCTGTTGCGGATGATATAGCTGCTCCTAGTCCGACAACTAGAGCCAGAACCAAGGATGGGGCGAATCGCTCGAATGCAGAGATTGGCCAAGAGCTGACCAAGCGAGAGGACCGCTTACTCCTTTTGTTCTAATTCCCGGCCAACCATGCCATGAAGAGTCGACAAGAGCAATCGCAGCTTCTTGAATGCCTCTTTCTACGTCAATTTTTCAATAGCTGGTCCTATTCTTCCCTAAATCTCGCCTGATCTTTATTAATTAAGGTGAGGATGGCACGTGCTTTCCTAAATCCATTTTACCGGGTGTTCACTCAGCGTAGAAAAAGGTTTTTGTTCGGGTTAGATACAGAGGTTCGATGTAATTGAGTCCTCTTTCGAGTGGAAGGTGGTAGCTCTTGCTCTTTCTCAGGTAGGCGAAGGTGAACTTTGAAGTCTTTATCTCGTGCTCTTGCGTAAGCAAGTCCAGCCTTTCAATGGTGTAGAAAAGAAAGAGGCGGTGTAGCGAGATTACTTGGAGTGGAGCCTAGACCTTTCATCAATCTTGCTTTCTTCCACGTCTTTTGGTCCGGTAGTCGCAGGGAATCTTGAAGCAAAGGGACGGCTAAGGAGTGACTCGGGAAAAGGGAGTTCAGTCTCAGCCAAGGTGCGGAGCATTTGAAGACGTAGCGCAGTCTGTAATGAGAGCGGGATGAGTACGGCGCTAACGCCCCTCTCCTGTAGTAGCGAACCAGTCAATTTTTTCTTTTTTATAAGCGTAGGCCCAACCTGGACAGAGCGATTTGAAAGAGCAGAGATTGGAGATTGATTCAATTCAATAGCTTTGGACAGAGACAGCCGGGTGTGAGCAACTCTCGTACTCTATTTACTGGATTGTGCGTGATTGATGGATTCCTCTTTACTAGCTAGTGCTATATCTATTGATTGAGTCAAGAGCGATATCTAATAGGTGCAGGTACAAAACCGATGCTCCATTAATGAATGATAGAGATCTAGTCGGTATCCATTGAGGGTCGACAAAGTTGAGGCAGTGAACAAAAAAAAGACATTCGTCATCGGTCGTGCTGTACGGAGAGATGGAGTACTTCACTCAATTACATCGACCCTTGTGCATTGAATATTGTATAAAATGGCTGCTTACCAAAGAAGACAAGGAAGAGTGGTGAAGTAAGAAGATTGAGTTGTTCCGACGAATAGCCTTGCTTCCCACTAAGAGCAAGTAGCCGTTTTTCTTCCGCCCGGTTCTACCTTGATGGAATGTGCCCTTCTCTTTCTATTCCATCTTACTGCAGGGAACAGGCCTCACAGGGCAATCATAGTAAGCACGCCACGGTAGCTTTTGTTATTACAGGAGAACGTGCTCATTCATGCAGAGAATAGGATCAACCGGGTTTTCGAATCCCGTATAGGACAAGGATCCTTTCTTGGCTTGTGCCAAGTCGACAGGGGGGGTTGAGAAAGACGTCTTATTGGGAGGGGGCAGCAGGTAATGGAAAGGATAACGGTCCCGCACCAGAGGCCTACCAACAGCTGGCTCTGCTACCAGCCTTAGCACTCTGCTTGCTAATTAAAGCGTGTGGTACCTGAACTAAGCCCCTTGTTAGCCTCAAGTCAGACAACCCACCCACTAGCACAAGACTAAGAACAGAGAATGTAATAAGTGATGAGGATCAATGTAATTGAGAAGAATTTCTTCCAGTGAGGTAGTAGGTCTTCTACTAATAGAATAGAAGATAATAAGAAGAAGCTAGAGTAGAGGCTGACCTCCACGAGAAAAGGCAAATAGCGTCGATGGACGATTTGGTTCGACTCCAATATCCCAAACCAGGCTCGATTACATTGACCTGATGCACTACCTTTTGAAGCTGGTCTGGTACCCGAAGGCTCTTGTTTAGAGTCTAGGTTGGTTGGTTCCTTCTTACTGAGGTTTAAGCTTGGGTCTCTAAAAGAGCCATATGCAAGGTGGGACCACTCGACTCGAGCTGAATCGCTATCGTGACAGCATCGTTCGGCCAATCAGTTCACGTAGGCTACCTTTTCTTATCGGGCAAGTTGCCATCCCTAGATATAGAAAGGGTGTCTTAGTTGCTCTTGCCTTGTAGAGTGTAAGGTTGACGCTTTTCCGCCCTTGCATTTACTCTGATCTAGCTTGCTTAGTCGTGGATTTGCCAGTAGCTTATAGGTTCGGTTCATTCCCCGAGCTTATTCCTGCTTCTTTATTAATCCATGTGGATTCCTTGACCGATCTTCTTTCACAGTGCCTATCTCGAATGGAAATATCCCAATAGGTAGTAAACTGCGAATAAGAGCTCTTGGAGGACGGAGTTCAGTCAGGGAAGGAGCTTTTGGAGGAAGTGAATCCGTAAGCGCAGCTATAGAAGAAGGTTCCCTTGAATCAGCCGTTACTGTTCTCGTAACCGGTGTCCGCTTAGCCTCGCCTCGAATCAGCCTTTCTTTCGGATAGTACGTGGGATCTTCCCTGGCCGTTAATGTCCCGAGGATCAAATCGTAGAACATTCCTTTCCTTCACTTCGAAAAGTTCGTTGGGTGGGGATCTTCTTTAAAGTCCAGGATTACTACTTCTTGGAATGTGAATCACTTCTTGACGGCTGAAGGCCATTGGTATTATGATACAAAGATCGGACGATTCCGGGGATTCGCGGGTGATTGATCATCAGACCTATTTCAATGCACTAAAAGCCCGTTAAGCAACGAAGTAGATGTCAAAATGTAGATACGCGACGAATAGGACGGAATCCGCTTCACCGATAGGCTAACAACCTTTTGAAGGTGAACCCCAAACGGCTGGATGGACTACTTTTTAATTTCATAAGAGGCCCTTTTCCCACTTACTTCTGCTTTCCTCACTCCCCGGCGTCGATGCCTCCCGTTTCTGTTCCCGGCCTCAAAAAAAGGAACCTTCCGCTTCCCTCTTGCTTGAAATTCACTGCTGAAAATATCCATTACTTTTGAATCAAAAAGTTGGGTTCATTTATGAAGCTATGTGAGACGTGTTCTGGTGACGGGAAGAGACGTGTGTTTTAGAAAGCTGCTAGGACGATTGAAGGTTCACCACCCTAAGGCTTTGTATTGATCTGAGTCGATGCGAGGCGGTACCAAACCCTAGGGCATAGGTTGTCGTAAAATATGGGCAATTACATCGCGCCTGTAAATGCCTAAGTGTTGGTTGTCTGGGTGAATAGGCAACTAGTGAGAGGTGGCATCTTCAGCCAACTATTTTGCTTTTCATATTTTGCAAGAGTCCAAGTCATGTCCCCTAATTAGGCGGATGGGGCACCAAAGATTTAGGTTGTGTCTAGGGATAGTATGGGTTTGGTTATATCTAGGATAATCAACCCATTAAGGAGGATTGTGTGGTTGGTACATCTCACCATTTACATAAGGATTTATGTAGAAGTCCTTCGTACTTTGCAAATCATCAAGTCGACAGACTAGGTTTGGCTTCTGAGGTGGCAGGTGTACAGTATTCACAATGGCCTGTACCCCCCTAGTTACCTTTGTCATTATGAGGTGGGTTTTGCACATTCTGAGGATTAGGTATCGGAGCTTGAGGATTAAGTCTCTTAGGTTATCTTTGGGTGTTAATAGTAGCAATGGTTAGGTTGACAAGATTTACAAGGTTCTTGGAAGTAGTGTTCTGGCTAGGGTTTGGGAGTTTGCAACCCTTAAAAGTGTTCAGTCCAAGCTTGACATTAATATTTTCCTGTTTATGGGCAGTAGCAATGGCTTGATCAAAAGTGTGCGGCTCAGCTCTAAGTACTTCTATTTCAAGGTCATCCCGAATGGCCTCATTGAAAGCTGCAATAGTGGTTTCCTCAGTCACATTATCCTGAATCTTGAATTGGGGCTAATCCCTCTGTGTTGGTCAATAAATAATTCCCTTTACTGGAACCTCTTGAAGATCTTGGGAATCCGGTGACTTTCTCACAAGGCCGCCTGACTTCCCTTATTGTTTGTTATTGCGCCTAAACGAGTTTCACGGAGAAATCAATTATTTAAAGAGAAGTTGTTCATCACTGGACCAATGAGCCTGGTGGGTATAGTAGTGGCAATGGACATCAAAAGGCAATGAACATTGTTTATGGAGAAGAAATAGGTAGAAAGCACACGGACTTGCTAAGCCATTGAAGGCAATAGACAGAAAAGCCAACATAAGAACGAGTTTCACAGTCTTCAGTGGTTTCAACCTCCGGAAGAGGGGAAGGCACACCAAAAGCCTCGTATGCCGAGTAGCAGTAGGTCTTCTCAAAGAGAGCCTTGTCGTCGTAACCGAAATCATAATCGCTGGCAACAATGGACATTGCCTTATTAGCCCAAGAACTAGGCAAAGACGAATCAAAGTTTGAACTGCACTCGAGCTAGTCCTCTTTCAGAGCCTTCCGCCGCAAGCTCCTTTGTAGATCATTCCACCCATTCTTAGATTATAGAATGTTTACTTGATTGACGATTTGAAAGTGGTTAGCTATACTCTTTCTAAGTTATAAGAGCTCGGAGTCTAAGATTACCAAGAGAGGTCAATGTAATCGAGCCATACATCATCCCTACTTACACAAGGAAAGTAAATAAGAAATTCTTCCAAAGAAAGCATTTGGGCGTCCTTGCTTTCTCGATGGGGGTTCCTATTTAGATGTTGATTTATAATATGCTGTCGTCGATTCCTACCTATAGTGACAAGACAAAGTGATTCAAACTAATAACCATATCCCGAGGGCATTCATGGATGGGCCGACAAAGAAAAGAAGAAGGTTGGGGAAAGTCTTACTGTAGGTGGAGAAGAAAGGGCTTTTCGATGTTTTAAAGCTGCAAGATTCATGAATTATCCCCCTCCGCTTGCTATTTGGCCTATTCTCCTGAGGATGCACTAAAGTTCTTTCTCGATGACCCTAGCGAGCGACTACGCGAGACTACATCCATATCTCGCCAACTAGCTAGTTCTATTTTGTTGCATATAAGACTCGGGTTGATTTCCGAAAGAGTGACTACTCGATAGAAATGCCCCTATGAATAAGGTTCGATGTAATTGACCTGAGTGTACAAACAAGCTCGAAAGCAGGTATACCAGTCTATCCATCCGTTTACTCCTCCGAGTGAGACAAGGAAAGAAAATACACCCACCTTCGGGACACCGAAGAAGGGTGTATTTCTTTCTTTTTGATCTTCTAACTTAGGTAGTTAAGCTCGTCTTCCTCAGTCAGCTTCGTATCAGTCCAGTAGCTTCGTAGCCAGTGTAGCTAACCATTTAAACTGTGAAAAGAAAAAGCTTCGTAGCAGCTAATTCCCTTCTCTTTGGTTGTTTGATATCGATATTCCTTCATAAAGGACTCATACATGACTGCTATTGATGATACCGAAGGCGCTTTAATGAACCCCAGATAACATCTGTCTTCAAAGACATCCTAATTGAGGACTCAAACCACAGCTCTGAAACCAACTCCCGCTTCTTTGAGTTCCTTCTTTAAAAGATTCCACGTGACAACCATAGTAGAGACCAACGGCTAAAGAATGGGCTGCTCTCGCCGCAACGCTTGGACAACAACTCCTCTTCTCTGGACTTGATAGCTGCGCTTGTAAAGACGGCTCGGCTTTTGACAAGACTTCGTATTGAACACACTGAAGGAAGACCCGGCTAGTTAGAAAAGAACTCTTTCTTTGCTTCGCTCCTTTGCTTTCGGTATTGCTTGATATGGAGCACACCTTCGGAAGTTTTCTAAATACCCGCTTCGTTTGAAAGACAGGACTGAAAGGGAAAGGCAGCTGTCATGAAGCAGCCTTTCTTTGGAACTCAACAATGAAAGGACTTGACTGATCGCTGCGCTCGTGAGACTGAACTCAAAGAACAGGACATAAACTCTGGAACCCTGNTTCTCAGAAACAAACCATATCTCTGAAACCCTTTCAAGAAAGGCCACTTTCGGGGGAGCTAATCCGCTATTCCAGTACTTGAAGCCCTCGCTTTCTAGGTCACACTACGGGTATTTACTGAGCTCCCTTGCGCCACAACTGCAGGCATTGCAGACCCCGAGGGCAAATGGGAGCTAGGCCCCTACTCCGGTAGTTATAGAGTTCTGGTTGTCAGGCCCCACTAATGGGAGTTCTTGAGTTATGAGCGGTAACCCGTGGTCTGGTAGCTAATCCGAGTTCCTCTGGTAGTTAGGCCACTTTACTGGGCCCCTTGCTTAGAAGGCACCGGGGAATATATTCCTAACCTCGAAGGCATAGCTAGAGTTAAAGCCCTTTCTTCTGGGAGCTAAGCTGGGGAAAGGTGAAATACCAGGAGTTATCTCCCTTGCTTTAGGCTTTAGATAGAGGGCACTAGACCAGGCCTGTTTAATTCTTAATTCCAACGTGCAAGAGCGGCCGATTAGGCCAATAAATAGAATGGTCGAAGACATAACTCGAAGCGGCTGAAAGCCAAGACAGCGGTCGAAGACCAAGACGGGAGAAGGCTCGATCAGACCTTGCCTGGACCACTCGAAGTTATTTATATATGTTCACGTTTCCAACCCCGAGGAACGAGCCATCTTTCCCAACTCTTGAGGTAAGATCCTATGGAATTGAATTGCTGCTGGCTTGCCTGCCTGATCGAAGGCCTCAGACTCTGTGACCCCTCTTCCTTTACTTACCATATTTCTTATACTTTACTTATGATGATAAGGAAAATCCACACCGCTTTCTGAATACCAATACCATGGCTTTTCTTCCTCTGACCCTGGACGACTACTATATATCTACTCCTGTTCCGTTCCCAGCTCAGGTTTCATCCGCAGCCCGGCTTTACCACATCCCCGAAACTGCTAAGACCCGTGGAATCCCAGACTTTGGGTGCGAGAAAATGGATGAGCTGGTTTTCGACCCCCGAGGTACGAGCCTGGATTGAAAAACCGTAGTTCCGAAGCCCGAGGAACGAGCTTGTGATTCTACCTCATAAATGAAATCTAAGACATCCCCATCCGGAATCAGTTGACCATACCTTAGGAGTTACCAATCAATTTGGCGGGAAAGTCAGACCCGACCCGAAGGCAGATCGAGGGAAAAGAGGGGAGTTCTCGGTCTCATACAAAATACCAAAGCGGTGGAATCCCAAGAAAGCGGGGGTAGCACTAAACAGGATCTCCGTTTTGAGCCTTCTTTCTCTGGTTTGCTGGCCTTTATTAGATATAAGCTGGTTCATTCCTTACTGCTTCCTATGATGAGGGAGCGCCCCGGAGGGTATTCATTAGCTGCCTCGTTCACACGCCTTGTATATATATAGGCTGCCGGATCGGATTAGCCGATAGGTCAGACTGAGTTGTACGTTCCTTCACTATAGAGTAGTCCATCCCAAGGTATAGTACAGTAAAGATGGATTAATCCCTTCTACGGCAATAAGGCTTCCACGACTGCTTGCTTTCCTTGCCTACTCCCTTGCTTGTTCACGTGCTTACTCTTCCTACTTCGGAGGTTAGTTGGTCTTCCTGCTGGAGTGCACATACCCTCGTTCGAAAAGAGGAGTTAGCCCTATCAAGTGAAAGGGGTTACCCTGCTTTCCCTCAATTACATCGAGCCATACATATGAATGAAGTGGCAGCAAGCCTGCCTACTAAAGAAGCGTCTACTGAGATTTCCTCTCGTCTCTTCCAAATCAGGCTTCTTTTTCAATCTTCCAATCATGCTATTTTCTATGACTGAACTTCGCTTCGCCAATACTTATGACTTCACTGCGCTGCGCTTCGTTTGTACGCAAGGAAATTGGCCATTGAGCCAGTAAGCGGGATTGACTTGCCGAATAGTGATATGATGTCACGAAATATGGCATTTCATGAAAGCGGCCGGGGGAAACCTTCCCGCACGGTCCAGAAGATAGAACTGAAGCATCATGGGAATTCGAGGAGGCTGAAAAGGTTGCCAAAGAATGGGAAAATTGATAATGGAATTCGGGGCTTTTTTTTGATTCGCGGTCGTTCAGCTCCGTGCCCGAATGCAATTGCTTTAGCGGGGGAATAGTCCATTTTTCTTTCTCTTTATTAAACTTCAAGGCATCAAAGAGAGTCCAGTTGCGACTGAAAGGAGAGGAGCAGATCAGCAGGGGCGGATGTGGCTCTACTTCGCCTGGACATTGACCATTCTTTAAACCGGCCGAAGAGCTTTAGCAAAGAGTCTCTTGGATAGAACGAAGCGAAGCGAAGTGAAGTCATATAAATTCGGAAACAAACTTTTCGAAGCAGCAAGAAAACGGATGCGCGTTAGCGCAACGGCTTTCGCGCTAGTTGCTCAATCCGTTGCTTGTTCAGTTCAGTCAAAAGTATTGGCGAAGTACCTATCTATCTGAACTACATCTTCTAATGCCCGATAGAACCGCGATCTTTCAAGGCCCCTGAAGGTATGCCATTCATAGGAAGCAATCCGGAGCTGTATCTAAGCAATCGAATTCCACTCCTTCCGCTCCGTTCCGGGGATCCATCCGGAAGGCCCACCAACTGCATGACCTCTGTCTCTATCCGACGATCGAAGGGCTTCGCAGTCCAGTTATTCAGTAGTTACAGAATTCCATGACATTGTTTGAATCTACACTAACAATTTCCCTGTTGGAAAAATTCATGTTCCATACGCATCCTTATAAGGCAAGAAAGGACGTTCCAATGCAAGGAGTAACCACCGGAGATAGGGAGAGGAGCTAGCCCGTGTCAGGTACAGGTCACACACCATTAGCCCTACACTACTAGGCTCGTTCTTAGGGTTTTTTATCTCTCGATCACCACGGTAGTTTACGCGGCAACCGGGTCGGCTGTTTCAGAGCTGATGTCCTTTTCATAAGCGAAATCCATTGACCCTGGGATTGAGCAAAGCACTGCTTTCGTTTACACCTATTTTGGTTAGGGAATGGTCATTGTGTGCGATCGTTTAGTCCGGGAGGAGTGAACTACCAGATAGTCCAAGGCGACCTCGTCCTAGCACTTGACCCTTTCATTTGAACTGAACTCTTGTGCTTGAACAACGAACCCCGGGTGGGGAATTGGGGGAAGAAAGCTCAACAAAGGTTCGATTACATTGACTTCACTGCGCTTCGTTCGTACTATCCTCTTTCCTATTTGCAGTCCTAAGCTAAGTCCCTGTCCTTATCTATGGGCTGGAGATATGAGAGTTTTGGATTATGAAACAAGAGCATTCTAGACTTCTCTGTCTATAGCTCTCTCCTTTGTCTAGTATATAGATGTCTAGTAGCAGGACACGGAGTGGGCTTTCAATAGGCTAGCTGTCTCTTGCTTTAGTTAGTTGAAGGCTTCTGTTGGCTGGGCTGGACCAAAGGATCGTTCTCCTTTTCTTGATGCGGGAGGGAAGAAGTACCAGTTAAAGCATTCCATTCCTTGTTCTGATTGCCATATCTTGACCCAACGAACGAAGCGAAGCGAAGTGAAGGAAAAGAGTGAAAAAGGAAGGGAGCGAAAGAAGGGGACGAAGGTTAGAAATCATCAATTGAGTTGCAGCTACAGATGCTTTTCCCAAGAATAACTCCCTGAGACTAAGTTGAGTTTGAGACGAAGAATTCAATATACTGGGATCCCCAATTCCTTCTTTTCAGGGGGCTGTCTGGAAGAGCTTGTTCTCTTGGGGTTTCATCAGTTGAATTTTGGAAGGTCATATCGAGCTTTTTATGACTTCACTTCGCTTCGTTTGTAGAGTTGTTAAAATAGCTTGCCTTTCCTGCTTCAAGGCGTTGGGTTGCTTTATAGAATGCGTTAACAGAGGAAGAAAGCGACTAATGACTGACAGCTAACAAGACTAACAGCGTAAGGCAACTAAAGCCGCTAGTCAGGCAGCTCTTGCAACTAATTACGCTCGGCTTGGAGTAAGTCGTGATACCTCTTCTGAATCTTCCCTAAAGGAGTGAACACAACATGGCACTTGTTGTATCTGAAGGTGCTGCTTGCAACGAGGAGCTTCCATAAAGAAGTATTCGTCTATACAGGGGGGAGCCGGCTTGTTTGTCTCAGTAGGTGCTTTAGTCACTTCTGCCTTCCTGGCTTTTCGGACTTGTAGCTAATCTAATAACCTCTTCCCTTGGCTTGAGTACTCGTAGCGTCGTTGCCTAAACCTTTCCTTAAGTGACTTTTCGAAAGGGGAAGTGACATGACATATAAAGAATCCGAGACCTGCTGTGAGAATAAGTATCGAAGATTCGATGGAATTCCCACTCTATCAGCAATAATAGTACCAAAAAGAAAGGATAGATGTAATTTAGAATCAGATTGTAAAGTGTCAATGTGGAAGAAATTTAATTCAAACGGCGAATGGCTGAACTGTTGAAAAACCTGCTTCTCAGAAGACCAAAGAGCACCGAAGCATGCGCAAGAGAAAGGCCTGATTCATTGCTGCAAGTGAACGCGGAGCGCAGACACGAGACCATGCCACGGTGACCGCCCCCAATATCACCGGTCCAAAGAAAGTTACGAATGGCCGAAAATAATCGGGATATTATATTGGCCAAGGGTAGACCATCATAGAATGGACTGCTGAGCTAAGGAAAACCGATCCTTACCGCATCCGATATCCGCTCGAGTGATACCGAACTTCCATAGAAGACTAATTCGTCGTCATGACGTTCGGGCATACAGCGAGGAAATGGTGGGAACAGCGGCTTAAGCAGTGATCAAGGAATAAAAAAGAGATAGGCTAGCCAGAAAGACCAGATAATTCCCATGCGCCTCTATCTTTAGCTTCGGCCTGGCCTCCGATCCTCAATCCGTTGATTCCGGCAAGCAAACAGGTTCGATTACATTGACCTAGAGTTCTTTCTCGGGGCTACTAGTTGCGGCTCTGAAGTTCCCGATTTGACAGAGTTAGATAAGCCAACTCCTACCTTTTCAGAAGTCCGGAGAGCGGTAGCCTCTTCACATCCATCCGTCATATGGCACTTTCTTCTAGGGCCACATCCCAGTATATACGAGCAAGACCTGATGGCATGAGATCTTCTTTCTTTCCAATAGGTCCCCCTGAGGCCGAAAGAAACTTGCTTTCCTCTGCCGGTAGTGGAAGGCGAGATATAGGCCTATCGAAAGTGACTTCACTTCGCTTCTTTTGTATCCTCGGATTTATACTGCTTAGTTGTTTGTAAGATAGAATGGATTAAGATTGATTGTCAGTTCGGAACCAGTGCTACTAGATAGAAAGCAGCGATAAATACCTGCGTTGCGTCCCCCCAATCCGAGTTCGAGCTATTGCTATTAGTAGTGCAAGTAGCTGTGTCAGCCGTAATAGCAGCGCCAGTCTAATGTATGTGACCCCGAGGTCAGACCAAGGGAACTTCCTTAGGCGGTATGACGAGGCACTTCCAGGTAGCGAGTCATAGTGCCAGTCGTAGTAGTGCTAGCCGCCTGTCCAATTAGGGACCCTACATCTGTCAATCCACATCTATCGAATAGAGCTGCTAAAGACTAGTGGTTCGGGATAAGATAGGGCCTGAAAGGTAATAGTGAGCTCGAGCTGGAGCTGCTGCTCAGCCAGCGCTTTTCTCCCCTGGCATTGGTGAGTGTTTTGTTTTTAACCTCTTGCGGACCCTTGGCCCATTGGTCACTTCCTCCCTTAGTGTCAACCCGGAGATCCCACCATTTATAACTAAGCATTGGGGGCCTTTAATCAAATAGGCTTGTTAGCCAATTACTTATTATTAAAGCAAATCATTCTTTATAGCGAAGGTTGGCGCGAGCCCCACTCATACAAGTAGGTGAAAACTCTAGTTCAACTGTATTTTAACTCAGAATTGGCTGGGGCCTTAACCGTAGCTTTGGAGCTTTAGGGCCAAAAGGCCATAGATAGGCTTTTGGCTGGGGTTAGCTATGGCAAGGGTAGTTTCAACTCCCAAGCTCGGTACTTCTATGACTGAACGAAGCGAAGTGAAGTCATAAAGGAAGTCGGTCTCAGCTCGTTTTCCTTTCAATCGATGTTCAAAGAAACTTCCCTCGAAAGAGATCCCTAATGAACATTCATTCCGTACTTATCTAATGATATTCCCAGGATCGCCTCTACTAGATCACCGGTACGTATGGATGCCCCCGCGTTGACCACCGGGAGGGATGGTACAGAGTGAACGATATCTATTCAACTCTTAGTCTTAAGCTTGACCAGGGATGACCCCAGAGCAAAGCGATCAAGCAAGCAAGGTTTTAGGCGAACAGGCGAAGAGGACGAATACCGCTAGTTTCGATTCCGCCCCGACTAAAAAGAAGGAACTGTAAGGAGAGCTGAACCTCTATGACTGAACTTTGCTTCGCTTCTAAAGTTGGCTCGATCTTCTGCATTCTTTAACAGAAAGGTAAAGGTCTCAATGCTAGCTGGACCTGTACTGCATTTCATGCTTAAATCGCTACTCTTTTCTTTCGTTTAGTTTAGTAAACTAATTCATTCTTTTACGCAAATCTGTGCTAGCTGGGCAGCATTTCTTTAACAGAAGGGTATCAGTGCAAACTCTTTCATCTCTTCTTTCCGTAACCTGATCTTTCTCGTGTTCCAACTTCTCTGCTCCAACTTCTCTTTCTCGAAAGAAAGTCAGCCATCAGCTTCTACTTCTTACAGTAAACCATCAGCTATTCCTGACTCCAACATTGAGTATAGGTATAGGTAACTGGCCTTAACTCAAGATGCAATGTCTTTTCATAGCGGTAAGAAGAGAGCGGTAAAACAGAATGGATTTCATAAGTTGAGTCAGAGGTACTCATTGTAGTATTCTACTCTAGCCTCATATCTCGTTAGAACGGTTCGCTTTCTCCCCTTTTTTGTTCTCGTCTAAGCTGTCGGTCTCAGTCCTTCAGTGTCGGTATCGGTCCTGGAAAGTGGAACTAACCTTAAGAAGGAGATGGGTCGATGTAATTGAGGTGAAGAAGGCGGATTGAACAGAAGGGGAAGAGGAGATGAAGATTGGGGTTCACCAGGCAAGAACGATAAGTCCGTAGTGTGACAGGCTAGGTACGCCGCTCACCTGTATCAGTGTTGGGGGTAGAAACTGAAAGATTATAAAAGGGATTAGACGCAGAAGAAGAATCTTGTGCTGGGCACGGTCCTATTGATGTTGATTCAATTCTATGACTGAACTTCGCTTCGCTTTGTTCGTTGGGTCGTTCTAAGCCTAGTAGACTCAAGAAGAAGCTTAATCGACAAGAAAAGATTTGAGAGCTTACACACGTCTTTCCACGCTCAATAAACGCTGGGCCCATAAACTATTCGGAAAACCCGGTCTTCTTTAGAAGTTGAGGCAGATGTGGCATTAGATATTTCCAAGTCTTTTTTCCTCTGTTTTGCCAGCTTTATGACTTCACTTCGCTTCGTTCCGTCGTTGACCCTCTCCTTTCTTCCCTCTCTTTTCCTTCACTTCGCTTCGTTCGTTGGGTGAGGTTAATTCTAAAAGCCCTTTATTTATCGATAGTTATTCAAGGGTCGATGTAATTGAGCCGACTTTGGCCTTTTAAATAACCTGGAATAAGTACTCCAAGGTTTCAAAGTAGGCTTTTGCTGTGGATCTCTAACTCTAATGTCTGGGCCTGTACTAGACTGGTCTCGAGTGCTGTGCTGATGTGACTGTGCTTGACTTAGGGTTTGGCTCTGCTGTTTTGGGTTCTGGTCTTGCCTCCTTGCGACTAAAGGAGATGAGTGAATAGGCAAAGTACCACAGTACAAGGATCGAACTTTCATTTTCCGAATCCGATACTAGCTAGACTGACTAAAAGAATAGGATGGGAGCTAGTCAGAAGTACGAATGCAGGAAGCTGCAGTGTGCGCCCCGCCCGGTTCATTGGGCTGTTGGCCTACCAAGCACTTGCCCGCTGCTCCTGTGGCTTTTGACTTATTAGTGATTTTGTCCTGCTTCGATAACTCCTTTCTTCCGCACCGGAGAATCTTCCGTACCTGTCTCTGAGAATAGCACCGGACTGAGCACGATAGCAAAAGGATTATAGGTTTGAGCATGGGTTTAGGCTTGCCCCTTCCTGACGCTCTTTCAAAAGGGATTAGAACGACTACTACAAGATAGAAAGAGGGGTTTGTTTTTTGAAAAACGGTCACTCTATCACCTGACTCATTTGCTTCTGACGGGGAATCAATGCCTAAGCGCTATGCTTCTGGCGAGGAACTCAAATTCAAATCGCCTGGAAGAGGCCAGCAGGTGAGAACGCATCAGACATTTCGGGGACTTAAGATCGGCCAGCATAAGAGGAAAATGGGAGAAGAGGGTGCACGAAGTAGCTCGACTTCAAGTTGAGGGAACGAACGAAGCGAAGTGAAGGAAAGGTGTAATTGAGCAATAGAAGCTATGCCCCAGCTTGTTTACCCAACCAGACCTTCTTCTCAATGTAATCGTATAAAAGAAAGAATTGCTTGCGCCAGTCCACTCATTGCTATCTGATAGCCATTAGAAACCTTCTATATATTATAGAATATAAATGCTGCTATTGGTGAATCGTCCGCTATCCTAGGTACTTCCGACAAGTAAAAGAACAGAATGCCGATGGATTGTAGGAGAGATCCCATACCTTTACCAAACTCGATTGTCCAGGGACGGGCTTGAATTGGCTTGTCAGCTAGATGTGGTTGGTACTGGCTCAGTTTCACACTTCTTTCTTTCTCACAGCAACAACCTTTGCTTTCTTTCTGGCTTGTCATATTATTTTTTAAAAGATGGAATTTGCAGTGATAGCTTATCTACTGGTAGATAGGAATCCTACGTAGACATCGGGTGACGTTTTCCGGCGGAATCCGGACAGTCACTCTCTCAAGAGGCTATATCCTGTGAATGAAGTCAGCCACCAAAACTTCTTGACTTCACTTCGCTTCGTTCTGTTAGTCTCACTTTGCGATCCTTTAGGATCCACTCCAGCGTTTAGAAATTGGTTAATTGGTAAAGAGACATGTACTTGATGCCCCGCCCAAGAAAGAGACCCAAGTCCTAGTAGCCCCGCTAAATGGTGATTCAACATGGATTCTACATCTTGGAACCAAGCCTCTAAAATATGATGAGAAGAAGAGGAGCAGCTCGCCTATCGTCAATGTTGGGGGGAGAGGAAGTTTCGATTCGAACAGAGAGATGTCGGAAAAGAATTTGTTCTACTACATCTCTTTTTTCCTTCACTTCGCTTCGCTTCTAAAGTTGGATCGCAAGCCCTCCTCTCCCTATGGTCGAGCATCTTCAAACCTGTGTTCTATTTCCTTTTTGGCAGCTATCGTTATGACAGATGCGGTTACAAGGTTGGCCTGGTAGTGGCGTCTTGGTATTCCCTTCGCATCGGAATGGCTACCGTCCTGTACTAGGAGAGCAACCCAACGAACGAAGCGAAGCGAAGTGAAGTCATAAAAAACCGGTTTACGTGAATACAGTACACGTTAGCACTTGCTCTAGTTCCGGGAATGCAAGGACTGATAGTTGGGCATTAGATAACTACAGATGGATTGAAAGCATTGCCTGCCTCAATGTCCGGCGTCTTGTCGCCTCGAGTTGGATTAGAATCTTGCTGGCGCGCATCGTTTTAACGCCTACCGCGTCTTTGGGTACACTCGGCACTCCAAAGCTATATCAAACTAGCCGGTCTCTCCGACTAGGTCACGGTCTGCCTAAGCATACGATTAACTGGACTTTTTCACCAATGTCCACCCAAGGTGTTCTCGAACATCTTTCTACGCAATAATCCGGTAAGCAGGTACGGTAGACGGTGTAGCTAAGCAAACTCCCTACTGTGAATCTGTCTTCTTTTTCTTTTGAAGCAAGAGAGGGAACCCACCTCGGACATTTAGCTACCCTTTAGGGTCAGCGTCCGCAGTGGGTGAGCTCTCGACCCCTTTATCGTGGCTACCTTGTCTTCAAGCTTGGAGCGAAGGGAACGAACGAAGCGAAGCAGCAAGAAAACGGATGCGCGTTAGCGCAACGGCTTTCGCGCTAGTTGCTCAATCCGTTGCTTGTTCAGTGAAGTCCCTGGAGNGAAGATTACATTGAGCTGCTTTCTTTTCTTGCCTTTCCTTTCTTGCTAATCATTTTTATGATAAGTGTTCTGTGTTGGAACGGGGGGCTATTCTTCTATTGATTCGGCGAATGAAAGAGCTAGTTCTGCAACTAAGTCTACTCGGCTTATCACCTTTTCTTTTTTATCTCCTGCCAGGCACCTTCCCAGCGGGTGCTCCCAGGCTTCATGTTCCGACCCTTCGGGCCAGGGATTTTTCCATAACGAAGTCTGCTAGCACTTGGGCCTTGCAGGGAGTTTTTGGTTCATAACGAATGTCATGCTCCCCAAGTTCGACTGACCTTTGCACCAATCCCCTTGATGTTTCAGCTCGTTGAAGGAACTCGGCGCAAATGAGAGTTGGCTCTTTCGGTCAAAGCATATTGTGAGCTCGACCATAGTCGTATTTCTAGGGCAAAGGAGACTGTCAGCCTCTGCCCGAAAAAGGGGATTTCCACGGGATAAGCAAGAGGTCAATTACATCGAACGAACTGCGAAAACCAGAACGAGTCTTGTCTTTGCACAGTAGGAGTTTAGCCTGAGGCGAAGCTACTGGTACGAAGCGAAGTGAAGGAAAAGAGCCCTTCGGGTGGGGAGCGAGGAAGAGAGAGATTTATCTCGTTAGTCCTGGCATGATTGCCGCGGGTTGTGGCCCACCCGACGGACTTCCCTGGATGTAGTTCGCGTTAAGTCTATGTCACGCGGGGTACCAATCCATTTCGTTGGGAAGATGGCAAGGATGAAAGAAGAATATCGAGAGAGAGATAGGAAAAAGAGTAGAGAAGCGAGAGCGGACTATAGCTTGAATTGGCTCGTGCACACACACATGAAACTTAAGACGGGGAGGGCTCTTCCAGCTAGAAGAAAGCAACCAACAAAGCCAGACAGCAAGAAAGAGAGTGGGGCAGTCTCATCCCATGAAAGGTAAGGAAGGACTTCAGCTTTCCCGAGTGGAAGAGCGTCTTGTGTTGTTCCGACTCTGACTTTGAAGCCCGGCCCTCAATTACATTGATCCTCAGCCCGAGCTTTGACTATGACTACGAGGGGATCACATTCGAGGAGGTCAAGTCGGGTTGAATAGATGAGTGTCACGGCTAAGTCCGGGTCTTGTCATACCAACATCGGGAAATCCGACAGCAAATAAGGTAATAGACTTCACAAAAAAAAAGATAATCTATAGTGAATTGTTACGATGTGTGGCCTCCGCGCGCATGCAGGTGCAGGCAATGGAATTGGCACAGCAGACAATGAATCTATGGGTCCGTCCCATGCCTTGTTAGAGTTAGAGGACCCGTGCTTCAGGTGACAGCAATCTGCGGCGGAGGGGAGAGCGTATATCGCCAGGGGATGAGCCGTAAGGCGAAGAGGACACAACATTTCATCCTGCCTGAATCGGTTTGAAACTATGGCTGGGGAGAACCCTACGGATCCTCAATTACATCGACCCTAAGCCTATTCAATCTATTACAGGCTCGATCCTATGCTCAATCCTATCTTAAGATCAGCGAAAAAGACTGTTGGAGTCTTGTTGCGTGGGAAGATCAGCTTTTTCATACGTTTTTCGCTTCCGAAGTCTTTTCGATATTAGGATCTGTTGCTGGTTCTGATCCAACTGACTCTAAATATCCAACAGGGGGGGTTAGTGAGGTTAAGGAGCTTTGGGGTGGGCAAGAGCTGGTTAGAGCAAAGGGCGGGCCACTAGGACAGTTATCCTTTATAAATGTATTGAGTGAAGTGACTACTCGCCTATGCTTTCTTGGGGCAAGAGTAATCATTGATTTTTCGATACTGATTGAAAGAATGGCACGAAATCTTAGCAAAACAGTTGTTTGGCTGGAACTTCGCTTGCCTAACAAGTTTGTCTTCGGTCAATACACACTCGACTCCGAGCACTGGGCGGTTCAGTGCTGCAATCGCTTCGCACCGGAGGGAGTTCGCCACTGGCCCTCATGAGCAGTTCGGTTTATCGAGTTCGGAGTTGAGGTCAGGGACAGGACAGTCTTCACCTCGCAGTCCCGTCCTTCTCCTTTCGGAGATAATTCCACGAGTTAGCAGAGCAAAGTGAGAGTCGACTTTCTCGCTTAATCTAACGTTCAGACTTGTTCTGGTTTGAGATGAGGTAAGGCTCAGCCACCCTAGCCCATTGAGTGCTCTACCTCGGGCCACGCTGAAAGCAGTTGAGGAATTACAAAGAAGTCGAGAAAGACCTTCACTCGACCAGTTTTATGACTTCACTTCACTTCGTTCGTTCCCTCATTCCTCGTATTTCAGCATTGGGATCTTATCCGAGACCAAACCCTAGTACGAGAGACCCAACCAATCCTGTTGATCCCGCCGTAACCTCCGCTCAATGCTAATGGTTATCCCCAAGGTTCAAATCTTTGTTGAGGATCCATGTAATTGAGAAAGCCCTTGATCGAAAGGCGGGGTCTTCTTTCTGAGCAGTTTAAAGATCGGCTGAAGATATTATGTCGCAAGATCAGGTGTTGAGGAAGGCATGAAGCTAGGGAATTTGAATTCAAGTATGAAAGAACTCTCTAAGTAAGCTTTTCTTTTTGCGGACACATCCTCAAAGTAAGATAGAGCTTAGCGCAATGCGGGATTCCAGAAAAGCTGCTTTCCTGCTTTATTTTAAACCAAGTCCTGTAAACACAAACCTGAAGGCGACGAGATTGAGGATCAACACAAAGCTTTTTGTTTGCCAAAATATCCCGGTCCATTTTCACTTTCATGTCTGCCCGGCCGGCCCTTTGACTGAGACATGGTCGCCCAAAGAAATTATCCCGAGGATCTCTTTTTTCCTTCACTTCGCTTTGCTTCGTTCGTTCCCTGCAATTCGCGATTAACTTGATAGGCGGACTCGGCATACCCCTATCTCTTATGCTAGTAAGCACGTGGAGGGTCGCCCGTCTAAAGGGGATTCGGTATGAGAACTTAGAACAAAAAGTGACCGAATCTGTTTCTGACTCGATTAAGGTTTAAGCTTGCTCCTATAGAGTTCTCCCCCCGGAGCAAGATATTAAATTGCCTCCCAGGGTGCATCCTTATGATCTCGTTACAAGGCTAGCACCCGACGACAACATAGATCAAGTCGTGGCAATGCTTAATTACCTGAGCAGGCCGGCAAGCGAGACTTTTGCGAAACTCCTCTCCCTTCCAGGACTGAACTTCGCTTCGAAAAGTTTGTATGGTCGAGCTACCTTCAGGCACCCTAAGGAGAGGGAGATTAGCAAGTTAACCACTAGAATGCTTGAATGCAGAATAGCGAAGAAGCCCGGATCACCATACCAATGAAGAGAACAATCTCGAATATGGATAAATCCTGGTCAAACTTGCATGCATAAAAAGGCGCGCTTCTCGACACCCCCAGCTCTCGGGGGATGAACTCCAAGCAGACATCCTCTGTTTCATGCAGGTTTCTTCCCTAGATCGTGAATAGACGTGTTTTGCTGAGGCAATTACTTCTTGTACACGGGAAATCTTTGAGATCA